AAACTCACTAAATAAAAGCAAGAGGATTACTTTTCTAACCTGGCAAAAACAGGTTGCTCTGTGTGCAGATAGGTGGTCTGATAGTTATATATCTGTTTATTTTATAGTGCCATTGTTCTGTATGGCACTTTGCTTAGTTTCACAGTTCAGACCTGTGAGGTGGCTGCTTTGTGCCTAGCTAGAAAAAGCACCTTCACCCCACAGTGTTGTGGTTGCTAATTCCTGACAGAACTAGCCACTTTCATCCACAGCGATGTGGTTGCAAGCTGTGTCTGATATGCAATTCTGTGATACACAACTCCTAAGGGAACAGACCCCCTTTCAGACTTGAGATGACTTCCTGGCCTGCCTTCCTTCTTCAGCCACCCTTGAATCCCTCTCATCTCTTTGAAACCCATAGTTTGTCCTCTTCTCCTTCTGAGGAACTCAGCCTTGTTGTCATTTTAAGCATTCCTCTTAGCCCCTTGATTCCTAAACCTTCACTCTGCTTATGACTGTGCCAAACAAAGGATTTCTGCCAATGCACCAGCACAACAGATGACCCGTAACCTATGACTCAAGTACCAGGCAGTGTACAGCAGGGGACTCTGATGGTGTTTAGGCTGCTTCCTGTGGTGGGGAGCCATTGGTACTTTATTCAGGGCCCTCCTGGCCAGGGGCCACAGCCCTGCTACCATCCCATGGTTTAAAAATACTGCAGTGGACTGGTCCTCTATCTCTCCAGTTTTGCAGGAGTCAGAGACTGAAATTGTAGCCCTTAATGATCCATTCAAGGGAAGCAGGGTTTAGCATAAAGGTAAAGATAAAGGGACCCCTGAACATTAGGTCCAGTAGTGACCGACTCTGGGGTTGCAGCGCTCATCTCGCTTTATTGGCCGAGGGAGCCAGTGTACAGCTTCCGGGTCATGTGGCCAGCATGACTAAGCCGCTTCTGGCAAACCAGAGCAGCGCACGGAAATGCCATTTACCTTCCCACTGGAGCGGTACCTATTTATCTACTTGCACTTTGAGGTGCTTTCAAACTGGTAGGTTGGCAGGAGCAGGGACTGAGCAACGGGAGCTTACCCCGTCGTGGGGATTCAAACCGCTGACCTTCTGATCGGCAAGTACTAGGCTCTGTGGTTTAACCCACAGTGCCACCCGCGTCCCAGGGTTTAGCATACTCCGAGTCTTATCAGCTGCATAAGGTTCCAGTCTGCCAGTAAGGCCGCTTTGGAGCTGTCCAAGGTCTTGTTTTTATCTGCCTTCTGCTTAGACCTGACTTGTCACTGTCTACTTCCACCTTGAGTCTTCAGCACTCACGGGACTGGACAGTTCTAGACTGAGAAGTTGCTTGCAGTAGCAGTCCCTGCAAGAGCATTTAAAGAACCCAGTTCTATCAGCCCATCTAATCCAGCATCAAGTTTTCACCACCCCAGGTCAGAGATCTCTGGTAAGCTATAAAGAAAACCTACTTTCCACCCCCCCAAGTTCCACTTTGCTATCATGGCCATTAGCTGTTGAAAGATCTGCCCTCTATGAATTTGTCTAACCTCTTCTTAAAAGCAATCTATGTCAGTGGTCATTTTCACATCCTTGGATGGTGAATTACCGCCACAGGATGACAGTTATGAGAGTTAACTGCGTGTTTTGTGAAATACTCTTTCCTTTTGTCCATTCGGAAACTCCTGAAAACCTATTTAACTGGAAGGCTGTCGTTTGAGTATTATGAGATCTACTTATCTCCATACCATTCAAGTTGCTAATTAGACATTTATAGGACGACGCAGTGAATTTTCAGTGACCTTCTCGCCATGAGCCCAAAATCCTTTCCCTGGATGATCCTTGCCAGTTCACACCTAACAATATGTTTTTTATTATTATACAGCAATTATATAGAATTTCATTTCCCGTTTTCTTTCCTTTCCACCTAGTTTGGAGATGTCATTCCAGACATTATGAATAATTTGGTGCTCACCACAACTCTGGCTAACTCCATGCCATTTTTGAAAAACCTAGCACCAGTCCCTTGAGAAGGATTCCTGCTTACTTACATCCAGTGTGAAAACTATCCATTTATTCCTGCACTCTGCTCTCTGTTTTAATAACCAGTTATTGATCCATGAGGTTACATGGCATGGAGCATAGTTCATGGGCTTGCACTTCTGGTGGCTCTGCTAACCTACCCAGGAGTATAAAGAAGAATTAATTGCATTAATCTGCCTTCCTTGTGGAAAAGATACCGCCATATCCAAGCACTAGAAATCTCCAGGTCCATCTAGAATCTGGCAGTTTTATCTGCTAGATTCAATTTCATATTATTCGGGTATAGCTTCCTGACACAAACAGTTTTATCCGACAGATTTTTCCTTTCCTTCCTTTTGTAAAACTGGCACGTAATTGCTGTTAGTATTATGGAGAGTTAAAAGTGCACATATCAAGGCTAGATTAGCCCCTTAAGTGTTTGAACTGTAATATTAATTCTTTCTGTTGGGAAGGTTTTCCCTCATGCCTATAATAAAACTATATAATGGTGCATAAAACAGAAAGGTCTCTGAAGGTTGGTTCAGGCTGTTATTTTAAACTATTATCTAATGTGAAATTCTGTCCAAAGTTTAGCGGGATCATATGACTTAGCAGAAGTCAGCCATTTAAAGAACATTAACAGAGCCGTTCCTTATGTGGAAACTTACCAGTCTTGTGGGACACGATGTTCTTTCTTTGAGAACCAACTGAAATGACACGGCCAATTGTAGCCACTTTGCAGAACCTCTTAGGCTTATTGTGTTTCTTCAAACAGAATATTATGGGATGAGGGGTTTGAGCCAATATCAGTTCTACCCATTGAAATGAATGAACCACTACTAATTCAAGTCCATGACATTCAGTGGGTTTACTCTGTGCAAAAGTTACGTTGGATACAAGCCGAAATATTTAATTGCACACATATTTAAATCCTATCCTCTGTGATCCAAGAGAATAAAACCTCCATGGAATTCAGCATGAGAGATACATTTTGTATAGTGCAAACCTATACATGTCTATTCAGAAGTAAATCCCACTGTAAGTGGGACTTATTCCCAAACCCTGGATGACTTGGAACTTTGATATTTGAAGAAGCCATTCCACTTATACCAGCCTGAACCATAAAGCTGGCAGGGGGCTGCTTGGAGTCCCATCCATGAGTGTAGCTCATCTTATGAGGACATGGAAAAGGGCCTTCTTTGTAGCTTTGGGGCTCTGCCTGCTAAGATAGTGACAATATTTATGGGATCCTGTCATATGGTGAATACATTTTTGTTTTCTCGTGCTTTTGAAAGTTCAGTTCAGTTAGCCACTAGTCTCTATTTCCATTGTTTGCTTTTATCGTTGATACTAACATTTTAATTGTAACTTGGATAGCTTTAAAAGAGGATTACTAGGGTTGCCATATTTCAAACAGTGAAAATCTGGACAGAGAAGTTGTTGAGCTTTATTTGGCCGAAGTTTTTATAGTTTTGCCCAGCCCAAAGTTGTTGAGCTTCTTGGGGAAATCACAAAAAAATGCTTTTTTATGGGAAAACAGCAAAAACGGCATTGCCGACATGGGCTGCCATACATCTGTATTTTATCCATTTTCCTGATTTCTGCCCGGACACTGCTGCCAACTTCAGTATTCCACGTATGTCTTGGGAAATCTGGATGTATGGCAACCCATTAGACACATTCAAGGAAGAGAGGACTAGCAATGGCTACTAGCCATGATGGCTATGCTCTGCCTTCTGTTAGAGGCAGCAAGGCTCCTGAATAACAGTTGCTAGAAACCACAGAAGCAAAATGTACTCTTGTGCTTGAATCCTGCTTGCTGGTTTCTCACAGGTATCTGGTTGGCCACTGTGAGAGCAGGATGCTGGACTAGATGGGCCATTGGCCTGATCCAGCATGCTCTTTTTATGCTCTTAACTTATAAAGTGTTTTATTATTATTATTGATTTGCTTGTTGCATGGAAACTGTTTTGCGGGGTGTTATGTACTGAGCTGAATAGGATCCAAAAGGCAGCAGTCTGATTGGTCCTAGAACAATAGGATTCAGAATGCAGCAGTATGATTGGTCCGCAGGAGCCACCCAATCCAGCTCCAGGTGGAAGTGAATCCGCAACCTGATTGGCCCACGGGAGAATCCCAGAACTAGCCAATCACATGTGGCCCACTGTGTAAATAATGTATATAAAGCAGATATTTTGGGGGAACATCCATTCCTCACTAATATGAGCTGAATAAAGAGCATGAAATCCACACTCAAGTATATTTCAGGGGGTCACGTGTGATGCAAAATGGTATACACAAATCTTTTAGCATACAGTTTTATATACAGTGATACCTCGGGTTACATACGCTTCAGGTTACATACGCTTCAGGTTACAGACTCCGCTAACCCAAAAATAGTGATTCAGGTTAAGAACTTTGCTTCAGGATGAGAACAGAAATCTTGCTCTGGCGGCACGGCAGCAGCAGGAGGCCCCATTAGCTAAAGTGGTGCTTCAGGTTAAGAACAGTTTCAGGCTAAGTATGGACCTCCAGAATGAATTAAGTTAGTTAACCCGAGGTACCACTGTATATAGTTTTCTCAGTAGTCATTTGCTTCGACAATTAGAGTGGGTTGAAAGTAAAAGAATGCTCCAACCAGTCTAACAAGGTGATGCAGGCTGGGAAGCAAAGGAACACAAGATGCTGCCTTATATATATATGAGTCAGACTGTTGGACCATCTAGTTCAGTATTGCCTACACTGGCTGGGAGCAGCTATCCAGGGTTTCAAGCAGAGGTCTCTTCCAGAATATGAGGATTGGACTGGGACCTTGCTGATGCCTGGGCAACAGTACTGAGCTATAGCCATTCCCCAAAGGCCATCTTTGTCTCTAGAAAACTTTGGCTCCAGGTTGGAATGATCTTTCAAGGCATTTGACATGGGGAGGGTGGTGGTGGAGAGAAAGTATTTAATTAACAAATGCAATAATCACCAGTAACCCCAACTAAGGATGTGAAACAAAAAAAAAAGCAGGACTTTATTCTGGTTTTTAAAGGAGAGAGAGAGAAAAGTTCTACGAATATCTTTGACCGAATGAACATTGTATGAATATTTCAAGATGTTCCTTACAGAATAAGAGTCAACAATGACTATTATTCTAGACAACTTCACATTGTAGCAAAGACATCCTGTGCACAATTAAATAAATTAGTGCAACACCATCTCCATTTTTTTGGCATTTCTGGATCTCTAAAAATCGGCCTTATGTTAACACAGTGGAATTTACATAAAGCATAGCAATGGCTGGGTCAGTGACAGTTCATCTGCAGAGGGATATGTGTGCATCGCTGCATCTGAATGCATTCCAACGTATCTTAAAGTCAAATGATGTAACCAGGAACAGATGGGCTATAAATTCACCTCCTTTTACATTCCCACTTATGCAGGCTGATGACAAAACAAAAACGTGTAGCACTTAGCGGGGGTAGCGGGGAGGAGAGAGATGGAAACCAGAATGAGATACAACTAAAATAATAGGAAACAATTACATGTCATAAATTGTATGAGCTAGAAAATGTGGTCTGTCAAGGAACTGGACGTTTAATTATTATAATCATTATAAATAGCAGCTAACCGAAAGTGAAGATCCCCTTTCTATCTAGAACTTTGCTCATGAGCGTTTAATACGCTCCCTATTAGGATGCAGTCAGAGCAACAAAAATCCAGATGTCTTCCACTAATCTTCCTTGGTACGGTCTTGACAATTCGATCCCAAGTCTAGTGTGCTATGCAATTGGTCCTGCATTCTCCATTTTACTGCACTTGTGCCATGAGCAGATGTGAGGGTGTGATGGCCTGGGATTCGGACTCAAAGGCTGAACCTGAGGAATCACAGCCTGCACAGGAGTCCCCGCCTCCAGAACCAGCTGAGCCGGGGCTGGGGCTTGAGCCTGAAGGGTCCTCACCTGTGCTGGATCCTCAGGTGCAGGCACCAGCTGAGTCTGCTCTGGCTCCTGAGGTGATGGAGGACCCATTGCCTGCAGGTGCTCCACTCTCAGCCCCATCAGGGGAAGAGGAGGTTGCCTCTGGGTCTGGTAACCCTCCAGCCTCTCCTGAGCTACAGAGGCTCAGGGCAGAGAGGCGGAGGGAACTAAGTTCCCACAGGAGGAGTGCTCGCCTCCAGGCCAGGAGAGGCGAATCACCTGTGGACCAGGGCCGCCCTATGCCTCACGGCAGATTAAAACCAGCCAGCCCCAGTCCCTGGTTGCGGGAGCAACATTGTTGAGCTGCGTTGCTCTCATATTCTGACAGCCTGTTCCTGCCTGCACCCTGTCCTGCTCTTCTGCCAGAGTTCCTGACCTCACCGGACTCCCTGCCTTGGATCCAGCTTCAGCTTTGATGGACAGCCTCCATACCGCACCCTCGACCTTGGACTGGACTCGGACCTCGCCGCATGGTTAGCCCTCGGAACCAGCACAGAGAGACTGCAGTGTCGCAGCAGCCAGGTCAAAGCCACTAGGAAGAGCCGCCCTACCCAGATGCAGCAAAGCACCAATGCACAAGTATTCTAGTGCAGCACAGAACTTAAGATGCTAAGGCCTCACCCTAAAGACTTTCTTGATGCTCCAGAGCCATCTATACAAGTGCATGACAAGTGACAGTTAAGAGATTAGAAGGAAACTCATACAGCAGTAGTATAGTGTGCTTCATTTTCTCCTTTGCCCTATACATTTTGCTGCGGGAAAGAATCTAATTGTGCCTGTGGGGTGTGCAGTTCCAGTGTCTTTGACCTTTGTACTCCAGGCAGGCAGGGGGCTTCATCCCTCAGTCCTGCGCCATTGCACAATGCCAACAAGGTTCACTGCAGAGATGACCTAGCAAGCTAGCTAGCCCTACCATCCATTGGTGGAGCTGTCTTAGAGCAAAATGGTACCAGACTTGCTTAAGACACACCTCACATTTGTACGTAGGAGAATGTGAAGCCGTGACCCAAATGTTCATTGACTTGGGTGAAAATACCAATTTAATGGCTCCATTTTCTTTCAATTTCTGGCAGCAAAGCAGCAACGGTTTCTATTCTGCTGGACAGAATTCTCTGGTGTGCTAAAATCTATCTACTTTTCGAATGAGTGTTTTCATTACTGTCCTTAACACTGAACAAATGGAGGGAAAACATAATTGCACACACTATAACAGAATATGAAGATTGGCAAGGGGTACTTATTTATTAAACATCATGACTGACTTCCCTACTTTGTTTGATACTTAGTAAATCGCTGGTAAAAATATATTGAAGCGGGTGTTCTAAGAGCAATTCGATTGTCTTCCCTATCATTTTCATGGTGAGGCTCCTTCATCTGAATTACCCTTGGTTTTTAACCTCACCATTCCTGCCAAGTAATTTGAATCAAGGTTTCAGGATTTACAAAGTCATGAATAAAAGTCCTGGAGATCTCTGTTGCACTTTGGAAGGAGTTCTGGTTACAGATGTTCATCTTGAGCATGAAAGGGTTAGACTCGGAGCTTCTGTCTTTAAAATGTATTCCATTCTTTGTAAGAAAGTCATAGACTGAGAAGTGCGGTCTCCTTGTTAAAAAGTGAACGTCTCTGGGCAATGCAGCTGTAAATCCCATCGGTCCAACTTTGGCACATGTTTACATTTTGCTACCGTGTTACCTGCAAACAAAGGAAAAGAGGAAAGTGACAATTGTGTATAAATAGTTTGATAGTGGCAAATACTGGCAGGAGGAGATGGGTTCTCCAGAGATTTCATAAATTCCCACACGTTCAGGGTTTCAACTGCTGACCTGTACTTGCTAGATTATGCACATTTCTGAGCAATGTAAGCATTCTACATGCATACAGAAAGAGGAATAGAGAAAGGAGGGAGCTGCTTTGGGAAAGCAAGTCTGTATTAACAGCCAATTGGTGACAGCTTTTTCTATGTATGACCACAGACGACCACAGCACCTGGAGACAATCAGTCAGGTCATATATCCACAGCAGTGACCACAGGAGAAATGAGTGCTGGGAGGAGCACAGAAAGAAGAAGCACCATGGTACACCCACATCAGCACAACTGGATGCCTTCATCTGCCCCAGCTGCAACAAAACATGTCTCTCTACAGCCACAGGAGGCACTGTAACTCTCCAATGATTTGGCTTCATCCCCAGAGGCACACTCTTCCATTGTCTCCCAAGACAGATGGATGCCAACAAGTTGTTTTTTCTATGCATTGCAGCAATTGCACAGATTGCACTGATTTGTTCCAATAAAACAATTCTTTTTTTATTGGTTTTTTTTTATTTTTGTGTGTGTAACAAAGCAAACAGATAAACAGGGAAAGGCACACCTATTGTCAGGAGTTCAGCCTACACTCGAGTAGGACTCTGGTAGAGACACATGCCCAACTGGCATGTTCTCTCCCTCCTGGTCGATCGTTCAGGAGCTTCATAAGCTTTCTTCAGCCCAAACATCACAGCGACACCGGCACACTTAGAGATCCGCAGAGTTTGCGCACCTTGCGAGACAGACCTCAGCAAATCAGCATTTTGGCTAATCTACTTTATTTACATATAAACACACACAGAGCACTGCAACATGGCTCCCTCTCTCTCTAGCATCAGACAGCAAAGAGAAAAAGAACAAAGGACAATAGTCCCACTTCATGGAACACAGTAACCCAAACATCCTGTCTCCATCACTTCCCACTCTGTGGAGTCAAAACATACACCATCGTGTAATAGACAAAAATCCCATGACTGCAATCATGGAGCAGGAATTCTAATACCTATTGCCTCCACTTTCAGTTCATAGTCTTTTTCACAGTTCGTTTATGTTTGGTGAGAGTCGTTTTTGTCATAGACATCTTGCAGTTGGGGAAAAGGTGAGAGGGGGGAGAGATGGGGGATATTGTTCTTTTGTTTTATTGCCTATTCTTAGCGTCGGAGGGTTGGGTCCGCATGTTTGTGTATTTATTTATTTTTATCGATATTGCATGGTTAGGGATTCCCAAGCTTGGTTGGTTGTGCTTAGTTGATTGTGATGCGGCTTATTTGTGTGAGAAAGGCGGGCTAGGTTGTTGGGTCAGGTTAGCCATATTGGATTCGTATGCTGTTGGAGGGGATAGGCCATTGCTCTGTTGTGCTGTATGTATGTATTAAAGGGGAACCACAATGAGGTCAAGGCATCCTCCGTAGCATGTCCCCTTGCTACTTCCAATAAAACAATTCTGACCCCATTTTTGCATTTCACATCCGTGAACACAGTTTATTAACTATTGCACCGAATCTTCAAACTGGTTAAAAAATAATAATTCAACGTCCTGAAATCATTATCACCAAATTTGCGGTGATTTGCAAGCAGATGCCACAAACCAACCAGAGCCACCATGTACTTCACTGGAGATAAGAGACTTAAAGTGGAATTCACCACAAACGTTTCTCTGGAGGAACAGAAAGAACATCCAGGCTCCAACCCCAGGAAGGGTCGTAAAGACATTTTGGAGGAGAAGCCCAACAACCCACTGGTGACCCAAGACCATTCACTATCCTGTTGCTGTTGGATCTGTACCCAGGCACCAATGAATGACCTCCATCTCAAACTCCACCTTCTGCTGAATCCCAGCTAGTGCATTGCCACATTCATTCCATTGCAGTTGTAGATCCCTCAGACACTCACCAAGGTCCTCCTTGGGGATATGAAATGCCATGCAGGTTTTCATCTACTACCTGTTATCGCCAAAGAATTGATGCTTTTGAATTATGGTGCTGGAGGAGCCTCTTGAGAGTCCCATGGACTGCAAGAAGATCAAACCTATCCATTCTGAAGGAAATCAGCCCTGAGTGCTCACTGGAAGGACAGATCGTGAAGCTGAGGCTCCAATACTTTGGCCACCTCATGAGAAGAGAAGACTCCTTGGAAAAGACCCTGATGCTGGGAAAGATGGAGGGCACAAGGAGATGGGGACGACAGAGGATGAGATGGTTAGATAGTTTTCTCAAAGCTACCAGCATGAGTTTGACCAAACTGCGGGAGGCAGTGGAAGACAGGAGTGCCTGGTGTGCTCTGGTCCATAGGGTCACGAAGAGTCGGACACGACTAAACGACTAAACAACAAACAACCTGTTATCTACTATCTACAACCTGTTGTTGGTTGTTCTGTACCCCAGGTCAGTTTCCTGAGACTTTGCTCAACATGGGGAGCCTCCACAAGCACAGGCCAGCTCTCCACTTCAGACAGTCACCCTCCTTTGTGTGGGAGCACTCATCCCTGCTGCCTCCCCCTTGCATGCTTATTCAACCTATTTAGGAAACACCTGGAGAAGGTCACTGTCTCCCTACTGCCAATGCTGCAACCTTGTTTTGGAAGTGCAGTTTTGACAAGTTCTGGCTGAGATCAACCAGACAGCTCATTTAGAACCAGCAGCTGGCCTAGTGAAGTAATAAATGTATCAATAAACTGGCTAACTTTATACCATTATATATTTAAGCTATGTACTAGACACCAGTATTCAGCGTCGGCAGTACCGTCCTTTATCATTTTTAGAGAGAGAGAGAGAAACTATTTATGACTGCCCATAACCCAAATGAATTTACTGTTATGGAAATCTTATTCCTACACAGAACTAAAACATGGTATACAGTGCTGGGCGTTTTTTGCTTAGATTGACAGCAACATTTTAATGAATCCAGAATGATGATGATAATAAAGACCTTATATTGCTTCATGGTGACTTGGGGAATTGTTTCCTTCTTTAACTTACAGGAGTGCCATATACAGTGGCTGTACTTTGGGGAGTCAAAAGTAAAATCAAAATTTTATATTTCTCTTCCCCTCCTCCCCCCTCCCCAAAGCTGGAGCCTCTATACCCTAGATACATGAGTCCACACTATAAAAGGTGGCTTTTGAGCCTTATCTGGATATCCCTTGCCCTTGCTTTTTCACTCCACAAAAGTATACTCCACAAGATAACAAGAAAATGGAAAAGGCCTCTTATCAAATTAAAGATGCTTGCAGCACCTTTGGGTGCAATGCTAACCCATTAAGATCAAAGTAAGCGTTGCCACTGACTTCGATGGGATGTGGATTGCACTCTTGGGGAATCTCTTCTTTGAAGAGGGGAGTTAATAGCTTGTTACTTTAATGAGGCAAAGCCAGTTTAGGGCACTCCTGGGTGCTAATTCAGCACAGTAGTTGATCTCAAATGTGTGCAGAGGCCTAAATCTGAACTGGAAAGTTCCCTATGCCATGTCTGTGTTCCATACTCCACACATGTGAAGAAGAACAGTTCCTGCTCATTGTCAACCTAAGCTCTGCTGAGTCCTATACCCCCAACTGCCCTGGAATGGCTCTACATAGACTTCCAGTTGTTTCTGGTCACCTGTTCCTTCCTTATTCCTTTCTCTCTGTGCTCAGGTGCACTGCTGGATGCTTCTCATGATCAAGAATACAGCCGCTTCTGTGCTCCTGTAGCTTCTATCATCATTTATGCTGTGTTGGTTGTTCCCAGGGCTTTTGTATGTGTACAACAGCTAGAGGGTGCAATGTGCTGGAAGTGAAACAGCAGAGATCATTCAGTGTGTGGTTTAAGGGTTAATTCTGTTAATTTAAGGTGTTGCAAAGCAGCTAGAGAAAGTGGCATGGTCTTTGGTGAGAGCTAGTGTGGTGTAGTGGTTAAGAGCAGTGGACTTGTAATCTGGTGAACCGGGTTCGCCTCCCCACTCCTCCACATGCACCTTGGGCTAGTCACACTTCTTTGAAGTCTCTCAGCCCCACTCACCTCACAGAGTGTTTGTTGTGGGAGAGGAAGGGAAATGAGATTGTTAGCCACTTTGAGACTCCTTAGGGCAGTGATAAAGTGGGATATCAAATTCAAACTCCTCCTCCTCCTCCTTCTTTGGTGAGGTAGTATGTACTCTGATAGGCTGCCAAGCTTTGAGGGAGTTTTCTTGGGGAAGTTTAGTTGAATTGAATTCTGCTCTCAACAAGCCTTGTCAGAAAAGCAAAACCCTTCTGTTTTTTTTCTGCTCAGCAGATATATTTTGTTCGGTAAATGTTTATTTTTCTCTCTCAACTCCCGTCTGCATTATTCAAGTGCCTCTGCTAACAACAGCAGGTTGATGAAGGCTACTCTAGCATGACTCCAAAACAGAACCCAAAAGATGACCACACTGTTAAAGATATAACTTTAATATGCATAAAATGCTACGTTTGACTGCATTGTATTTAAAATGCTATGCAGAGAAGTTTGCATTAGGCACGAGAGGTTTGTCTACAGCAAATGCGGCAAGGAGAGTATTTCAAGCATATTGATGGCTCATTGCTGGAAACCCAAACTTCATTCTCAGCAGGAAGATGTCCCTGAGTGCACTCCTGTACTTGAAGCCATTCACTCCTATAGGGAAAAGCAGATTGCTCCCCTTGGCTGGGGGCATTGTTGGGGCATTGTACTGGTAAGATCTACCCATGTTACCGAATGACCTAGTATTCACTGATAGGGAATGAAAAGGGTACATGAACTTGCCTTGGTAGTTTTGACTTTGTTTCCACTGCTGCATGACCAACCTGAGTAATCTGGAAGCACTTTACAGTCTTCTCCATCCAGGCAAGGGTTCATATGACACCACCACTTCTGGATGACAATGGCAGCTGGAAGACAAAAAGAAAATGGCTTGTCAAAGAGCAAAATGGAGCAAGTGCCATCACGCTGATTTATAAGCAAAGGCAATGCCAACAGAGTAAGTTCAATTCTCATGGGAAACTGTGGTTTGATGAAACTAGAAAGGAGAGGGCAGGGGGAGAGGGCAGAGGGAGAAGAGATACTTCAAGCTGTTGCTGATCCTCCAAAGCTGACAGCATACAGCAACTGGGCAGACTGAGAACATGGCATCTGAATGAAATCATCATGTTTAATTCAAGCTGAGTATATAGACCTCGTGCAAAAGTCATTCTAGGATCACTCCTCCTAAAATAGTTTCATAGATGGATCTTAACCATGTTTACTCAGAAGTAAGTCTTGCTAAAGTCAACGTAAACATATTTGCCAGTGTGGAAGTGCTTAGGACTGAAAACTCAGAAGCAGAAGAATGGTTTTCAAAGCAAAAGCCTGGTGTAACAAGCTAGAAATATATGGACCTTTACCAACAAAGCAGTTGAAGGTCAGACTATCAATCGCTTTTGTAAATAGGAGTAAAAGGCTTTTCTGAAAATAGGAGTCATACCTGCAGGTAACGGAAAATACAAATCTTACCCCAAACCACAGGAAATATGAATCCTTGACTTAACAGGTGCAACTATTTTGGGGGGGTTAAAAGGTTTTAACATTATATTACAAATATCGGAAATTGATACTTTTTGTAGGTCACTAAAATTGCATATAGGGACGCGGGTGGCGCTGTGGGTTAAACCACAGAGCCTAGGACATGCCGATCAGAAGGTCGGCGGTTTGAATCCCCGTGACGGGGTGAGCTCCCGTTGCTCGGTCCCTGCTCCTGCCAACCTAGCAGTTCAAAAGCATGTCAAAGTGCAAGTAGATATATAGGTACCGCTCTGGCGGGAAGGTAAACGGTGTTTCCATGCGCTGCTCTGGTTCACATGGCCACATGACCTGGAAGCTGTATGCTGGCTCCCTCGGCCAATAAAGCGAGATGAGAACTGCACCTCCAGAGTCTTCCGCAACTGGACTTAACTGTTAGGGGTCCCTTTACCTTTTTAAAATTGCATATATTGCTTTAACTGTTTTTATATATGTAGCTGTCTTATATAAATGAAATTAATAATAACGATAACAGGCAGCAATTCTAGTCCTACCACCTGACTGAGCACAGGGTAAGCTGAACCCAAGGACCATGCCAGCTCTGCCACACCTTGTAAAACCCCAAATTCAGCACCTGGTTTTACTGTCTTAGCAACGAGTCTCATTGGAATGGGCTAATCAGGATCCCTCCTTATGCAGAGGAGGTCTCTTCGTGTACATTCTCGTGCTTGTCAAATGTGTGACTGGTGGGTTCATGAGCAGGGACCGTGGCAGGAACAATGGCAGAAGGCTAGCCCATGTGGCGCCATGACCTTCTCGCACGTTATTTTAATGTGTGTGGGAGGAGTAGTCCGAACCCCTTCTACTGTTATCTCAGCCAATTAAATATCACCTTGTGACTGTGACACTGGTGCTGTGTAGCCAATCACATTCTTGCGTCAGGGATGGAGCATCTCTGGCCCTCCAGGTGTGGCTGGACTTCAACTCCCATCATACCTCGCCAATGTGGCAAATGTTCAGAGATGATGCAGTTTAGCAACATCTGAGGGGCCACAGGTTCCCCAATCCCTGGGTCTGCATGGTGATGTCTGCATGGTGGTCTCCATTGCCAGAACCACTAGACCAGGGGTAGGCAACCTAAGGCTCGGGGGCCGGATGCAGCCCAATCGCCTTCTCAATCTGGCCTGTGGACGGTCTGGGAATCAGCGTGTTTTTACATGAGTAGAATGTGTGCTTTTATTTAAAATGCATCTCTGGGTTATGTGGGGCCCACCACATGGTCTGAGGGATGGTGGACCGGCCCACAGCTGAAAAAGGTTGCTGACCCCTGCACTAGACTAATGCTTCTGCTGTTACTGCACACCATAGTTGGTTTCTTTTGCCTGCCAGAAACATAAGAATATGGCAAGACAAAGTGTGTAGGCCTGTTTGTCTGTGTTCCACCTTCCTCACACAAAGCCTTTCTATTTCTTTTCCTCAGCAGGTGGTGTGGTGGGGAGATGTATTCCAGTTGCCACCAGAACCAGCCTGAAATTCCCTGTTTTGGTGTGCTGCAGCTGTTTCAGCGCATCCATCGACCAGCCCAGGGAGCACCAACCCAGCTGGACTGGCAATGGAGATTATGGCTCATATGGTACCACATCTCTAATTTTATTTCTAAGCTATTATGAGAACCATTGTTGGCCACTGGACATTTTATTCAGTTTACAAAGAACAAGATAAGTAAGTAATAAAATATTCTGAACACAGATTTTAGTAAGATACGTCTCTTTCTTTTAAGTAATGCTGTTGTATGCCCATGATGCATTCCTGCATAATATTAGGCTGCTTAAGAGTGCAATCCTGTGCACTTTTACTCAAGTATGTTTTCTTGTGTTGAGCTTCAGCCGAAATCCATTTAACTTCAATGAGATTCAAGCAGCCTCTGTACATGATTGCTGGCAAAGACAGTTGCCCTTCATCAGTCTTCTCTTTCATTTTCATAATGTGATCATTAGTATTTTCATATTTTTTTTCCTGTGCAGGGAGACCCCATAAAGCGTATTTATATATCCCTTATTAGATTTGATTCAGTGGGTGCAATTCATCAATTCATATGAAATTACTTTACAAATTTAAATTGAATTTCAAGCTAAAATATGGAAATAAATGTTAATTCTGTTATCTAACATGATTTTACTGTGTATAGCTGATTAAGGTGACAATCCAAAATCCACTGACCTGGAAGTCCGTCCCACTGAGTTTAGTGGGACTTATTTCTGGGTAGACATACATAGATTCTTTAGTCTACAGTAGCATACCAAACCACAATTCTTACATGTAAAGGACAAAACAAACTATTATCTCACAGGGTGCCCCCCCCTATAAATTATGTAACAGCAGGTTGGCAGTGGTAAATTCAGTAGCTTTTGATACTGATTCAATTATTTCATTTCTGCTATGCATTTTCAATGTGGGTAACAGGGGTGTCTTTGGATGGGAGTCTATCATTATGTATTGTAATTTCGTTACCTGAAGTTTCATTTAATAAAATATGCATACAATCTACCAGATCATAATATAATGCTACCAGCAAATATTTATTCCAGTTCCTTAGTTGGCTGCTACTTAGTTTTTGTAGCTTATGAAACTGTTTAAATGTTGCGATCGTTTTGAATGATATTTGTGTCTGTTAAGTTACTGCAAGCTACTTTGTTAGGGCTTGCTTCAAAACTGGGAATCTAAATCTGGAACATACCTTGTGAGGGTATCCACTCTATTTTAAATAAACAATAAATAAACAATTTCTCTTGAATGACTTCTTTTGCTGATCTCCCAGATGCCACAAACATCAAATTTTCCAGGAGCAGGTTCTCTCATCCTAGGTACCATGGCTTATGCAAACAGCTACTGGTTTAGCAGTGCAGTCCTAAACAATTCCTACTCAGAAGTAAGTCCTGTTTGGAGGTTCTAGCTGGGGAGCACAGCTATCGCATACCCTTGACCGAAGAAGAAGAAGAAGAAGAAGAAGAAGAGGAGGAGGAGGAGGAGGAGTTTGGATTTGATATCCCACTTTATCACTACCCAAAGGAGTCTCAAAGCGGCTAACATTCTCCTTTCCCTTCCTCCCCCACAACAAACACTCTGTGAGGTGAGTGAGGTTGAGAGACTTCAGAGAAGTGTGACTAGCCCAAGGTCACCCAGCAGCTGCATGGAAGAGCAGGGAAGCGAACCCAGTTCAGCAGATTACGAGTCTACCGCTCTTAACCACTACACCACACTGGCTCTCAACAGTACACTCCTTCTATCTGGGGTGGTCGTCCTCTTCCACCGAGCGCACAGCTTCAGGAGGGCCCTCACAGCATTTGGGGAATTTCAGTAATAGTTGCAAGTTAGACATGAGAGTTAAGATATATTAAGAAAAAGTTAATTTATGATAAAAGTGTGTATTGGCAATAAGTAATATAAAATCGAAATAAGGAATAGACGGGAGGTCGGGTCTCTAGTGCTAAGACCAATTTATGTTTTATTGTTTGTTAAGAAAATTTTGTATTTATTGTTATTCTTGTGTGTAATTTTGTATTTGTGTTTTCCTTTTTATGTATCAATGTATCAGTCAACAAATAAAAAATTTAAAAAAAGAAGTAAGTCCTCTTGAGATCAGCGTAGCATATTCCCAGCTATAGGACTGCAGGCTAAATTGTGTGTGTGTGTTTTCTTTCACAGCTAGAAACACACTAAGGATAACATCTGTTGTCACTTTTTTTGTCAGGGAATCCCAGTGGGGTTTAGAACTACTCTTGTCTCGCTAGCAGTGTTCAGAGAAGCTCTCCTAATTACGGTTTTCTAAGGAATGAAGATATCAGAAGGCTGCTTTCGTTTTGACAAAAGACTACATCTTGAAGGCGAAGATTTACCAGTATACTGGGATTAAATCCTCTGGGTTTCTCTAGTTCCCTAGATGCAACAGAAGTTTTCTTTAATGGAACTATTGTTAGTGCAGAGTGTACCACCCTTCAAAGTCCTTTGGCACACGGAATACTTCGGCTTGGGAAGATTTACTCACAGCCACATTTTACACACTGGGAGAAGGCAGTTACACAAGGCTTATTAATGCTTTATCTTCTCGTAGCGGCTGCCAGCCAAGTTCCAGGTACTAACCCGAGAGTGTTTATTCCCACAAAAGAGAAGGGGGGGGGATAAAGCCAACTCCCTTGATGATCGCTTTAAAGTCAAGTGTTTGCCGCTTGTTTAAGTAACACAGAAGAGGTTGACCTTTAATGAAACACAATAGTGTGTGGCTCTGTTGGACTCCTGCAACTGCAGCGCAAAGGCAGTTAAAAGCTGCTGCTATCCCTTCCCTTTCTGTTAAATGTTTTATTCTCCCTTTTCATTTACAACGCTGCTTCCAGAGCTCAGCAGATCGATACATCTGTGGGTCAGCTGGTGGGGAGGAGAAGCATGAGTCAGGCCCATTTCTGGAGACTCAAGGAGCCCCTAGGAAGCAGAAAGGGGTACCGTAAGTCCACCTATAAGGAGCTCGGAGACAGCGGCGTGTCCTGTTCTACTGCTCGGACAATGCTTTCGCCTGCCCTTCTTTCCCATATTTTGTAGCTTGCAAGATTCTGGCCTGTTTTCAATCCACAGGAGAGCGTGGCCAGAGAGTAGACTGAGACCTGTAATGGGAAAGAGATGCCGTAGACCCCAGCATCTTTAGAGGGGGTGAAGAATTCCTTCCGAGAAGCAGATCAATAGGGCCTGCCAGCAGTTTCAAACTACCCCCAATTTTTCATCTGTTCTCTTTGTTCCTTGCTATCCTTTTTCTTTTAATGAGCTGCTTTTACTTCCATCACTATCTACATTTCGTAGCTGAACTGGGGAACGGCAAAGTGCTGCACTAACATCAATTAAGCCTTGCAACATGATGACTATTATTAGACCCATTTCACAAATGAGATAGTTCTTAAGGAAAGACTCGATGGATAAGGCTGGCGTTTCACTTATTTACAGCACGCAAGGCTTTGGGCCGGATGGATTTCAAATTTTAATTACTGTTTGTGTTTGTTCCTGGTGAGTGCTATTGGTTCCTGACAATCTACTTAAACAAAGTTTCCCATCCTATTTAAATCAAAACAGTGCAAATCTCTTTGGTTGTAACCAAAGTTTGCCCAGCTTAGGCATTTATGGCCTGTTTGAATCCACAACTTCCTTGAAAGTTACAAACTGGATTTTGAACCCTTGCCAGTCCTGCAGGTAGTTCAGCCACAGGCACCTCAGACGAAACTTCATCCATTTCGATCTGGATTCAGGCTCAGTTTGGGGAAGGGAGAAGAACAGGACGAGTGTGATACTGCTCATTGCCCTTGATCTCTCAACAACGATGGAGACGTTTAACCACAGGACCTTCCTGGACCATCTCTGTGAGTTGGGGACACTTTTTTAAGGTGCTCACTCTTATTTATATGAGTATTGGGTGCTTGTGCCGCTGCACCCTGGCAGGGTGCTGGATTTAGGGCAGTGCAGGCAATTCCCCTGCACAGGGCTCTGAGCTGAGCAGGCACAAAGCTGAGAAGATCCATAACTGAGAAAATCCATTTGGCAATGCCAAATTTTGGCCTTGCACAGGGCGGCATACTACAAAAGATGACCAAAGCCCGCCCCTGCCACAGGGCATGATTTTGTCCCCAATGCTAGTTAGTGTCCTTACAAAGCCCCCGAAGGCAGTCACTAGGAGATTAGGAGCATAGTTTCACTAGTATCCTGATGACACCCAGCTCAATTTATCTGTAACATCTGAATCAGGTGACACCATGCATGACCTAAACTGGTGCCTAGCAGTTCGAAAGCACATCAAAGTGCAAGTAGATAAATAGGTACTGCTCCAGCGGGAAGGTAAACAGCGTTTCCGTGTGCTGCTCTTGTTTCGCCAGAAGCGGCTTAGTCATGCTGGCCACATGACCCGGAAAAACTGTCTGGGGACAAACGTCGGCTCCCTCGGCCAGTAAAGCGAGATGAGCGCTGCAACCCCAGGGTACAGGGGTACTTTACCTATACCTTTTTAACTGTAGCTATGGGTTAGATCAGGGTGAAACCTGACAAGTCAGAGACCCTATGGATGGTTGGTTCCCAGGTCTAGGAATTGCATTGTTCATCTGCCTTGGATAGTGTTGGACTCTCTCTGAAGGACCAGGTGTATCACTCAGGTGTGCCATGTCGCTAGAAGCCCAGGTAGCCTCAGTGGCTTGGAGCACCCATTACCACCAGCTATCATAGTTTCTAAGACGACTTCTCCATCCAAAGCCTGTGAACCCTGCATATTGGGGGCATTCCAAGTATTTCTACTGCCATATATGAAAAAGCATGACTATAGCCTACATTTATTGATAGAGAGAGAGAGTAAAATGAAATCATTCCAAAGAAGCCAAACAGCTATGTTTTTCTTTTAAAAAAATCATTTACAAAATAGGTTCAAGTTACACAGTGCAAATCGGGGGTGGGGTAAGCTCTTTGAAAGGGAAATGAATAATGAAAGTCTTTCATGATACTGAAAATAATTAGTTACACAAGTGGGGCCAGGCGGAGACAAGCTTAATTAAAAACCTCCTTCAGGCTTCTGCAGCATGGAGGCCTCCACAGGGTTCGGTTAGATCACAAAAAAATAAAAAATAAAAAATTGCAAACTGTAAATGGACATGCATGGGTTTCTGCCCTAAAGTACCTGAATAAATTACCTCAGTGCTTACAGTATAAATAAAGTATGCTAAGCCATCACACTACAGGGGGAAATACAGGGGTGTCTGCTTTTATACCTCTGGTTCTTGCATCCATAATGCTTTCCTTATTAAAATCTAGAGTACAGGCACCAAACTGTTTCAGCAAGGATTTGTTTTGACAAAAAAGATGTAATGTCCAGTTTACCTCTGCAATTAGGATATCGTCACAAAAGCCAAGAGCTCTACCTTTCCTACGCTGATGCATATTTTAGTAAATATCTATTTACTGTCCACCATAAAGTCCTGCTTTAGTGTTGCAGGGAACATGGCATAAAATGTGCAGGCATTGCCTAGCATTCAGCGCTCGCGCACACACACACACACACACACACACACACACATATATATAATGTATATTGAGTAATTAAATCTGAGTTGCATGCACACATAATACGGTATGAAAAATGTAAGCATCAAGGCAAATCTAATCTCTAAATAAAAGAAGAGGCTATGTGGCATAGATAATATGTAAATATCTGAAGAAAGTCTTTAAATAGCAAACGCTTGGGCAGCTCATGAAAAACATTTCTCCCACCCAACTCCTGAGTAGCGTACTCATGCAATTTTTTGTAGGTGCAGGGAGGAGTTCTAGACTGCCAGGGAAGCACCATACTACCTTGGGTACAGCCACATCCACAGCGCTCAGAGACGCCATCCATTATGGCTTGATGCCATAGTGAACAGTGGACATGTTAAAGAAGGTCTCCACCATTTATTGGTATCCAGCCTTATGCACTGCGACATCACCATATTCCATATTGTAGGAGAATCATTAGCATAGCTGTCAACTTTTCCCTTTTCTTGTGAGGAATCCTATTCGGAATAAGGGAATTTCCCTTTAAAAAAGGGAAATGTTGACAGCTATGATCATTGCCAAAAGGCTGGAGAAGCCTATGGCACTGGATAGCACAACATAATACAGTGAGGTCACATGGGAGTACATGGTAGAGGACCCAGGTGGGTCTATCAGGTGCAGAAGGTCTCCAGCTGCCCCCTAATAACTCTATAATTTTACCTCTGTTCTCATGGCTATGGGGGTTTCTCCACAAGAGGTTTCCCCACAAGAGGCTGGGTTAGATCATCAGATAAATATAAGACTTCCACTTACACACGTCAACCTTTTCCCTGTCCCTCCCCTTCAAGAAGCCCATCTATTGTGCGATTATATCCAACTAGCACAACCTTGAAGGGTGGAAGCAACGGCAGGAGACAAAAAGACACGCCCCAAATACACCTGGGGATTTATTGCAAAAGGCTGGGACAAACAGTTTTCCAAAGAACATACAGGGCAGGCAAGAGGAAGTACTTACAGTGGTACCTCGGGCTACATACACTTCAGGTTACAGACTCCGCTAAGCCAGAAATATTACCTCAGGTTAAGAACTTTGCTTCAGGATGAGAACAGAAATCGTGCTGCGGCGGCAGCAGGAGGCCCCATTAGCTAAAGTGGTGCTTCAGGTTAAGTACAGTTTCAGGTTAAGAACGGACCTCCGGAACGAATTAAGTACGCAACCAGAGGTACCACTGTACTTCTTCATGTATCGCATAGTTGAAAATATGGAACTGACTACTGCAAGGTGGTGTGATGGCTACCAATTTGGACTGCTTAAAAGTGTTCAGGAAGTCACGTAGGAAGCAGAAACAGGGCATCCCGCCATAATTCCCCAAGCGTGAGAGCACATACACAGCACCCCACCCGGGGAGTGACCAAGGGGGCAGCAATAGACATCTGCAGAGGCAGTTTAGCAAGTCAGATGTTCCGAAAGCCCATCTTCAGACAAGACCAAAGGCAAGGATATGTAAAGAGTTTTATTGTTCTTTTGGTGATGGATACTTAAGAGGTGTTGGGAAAGGTGTCTGATAAAGTGACCTAATGTTGAACTTGTGTAACCATTGTATACCTCTCCCCATTTGTGACATGCTAGTGATGTAGTGATGATGTATCAATTATGCTGCTCAAAGTTCTAGTTACAGTTAGGTAGCCGTGTTGGTCTGCCGTAGTCGAAACAAAATAAAAAAATTCCTTCCAGTAGCACCTTAGAGACCAATTAAGTTTGTTACTGGTATGAGCTTTCGTGTGCATGAACACTTCTGATGTATCTGAAGAAGTGTGTATGCACATGAAAGCTCATACCAATAACAAACTTAGCTGCTCAAAGTGTATTCTGGGGGAAAGAGGGAAGTTTTAAAAGAGGATGTCACCCCATGCTTGGGGTTCTTACTCCTGTGGGGACTTGTGGCGCAACAATAAAGATCATGGTCTACTGACCACTGTTTTGCTCCTAATTACTTGGCTGGAGCTTCCTTCTTTTACTGACCACATGGACCTGCGGGGGACTTGCACCCCGACGAGCTGGGCTGTTGAGTAGTCTCTCTCCCCGGAATTTTTCCTTAACAAAAGCTAGATTTGTTGTGATGTCTATATTAACTCCAGTACCAGATGCTGAGGAACAAGAGTAGGAGAGGGCTACTGTGCCCATGACCTGCCTGTGGGCTTTCTATAGGCACCTGGTTGGCTGCTGGGAGAACAGAATGATGGACTAGCTGGGCCTTTCGTCTGTTCCAGCAGGCATAAGGCACAAATCACCCCTTCTCCTTTACTATTTATTTACCTGTCCTTCACTGTGAGGTCCCAGGGTGAGTTACAACAAATAGAATATACAGTGGTACCTCAGGTTACATACGCTTCAGGTTACAGCCTCCGCTAACCCAGAAATAGTGCTTCAGGTTAAGAACTTTGCTTCAGGTTGAGAACAGAAATCGTGCTCCGGCGGCACGGTGGCAGCGGGAGGCCCCATTAGCTAAAGTGGTGCTTCAGGTTAAGAACAGTTTCAGGTTAAGTATGGACCTCCGGAATGAATTAAGTACTTAACCTGAGGTACCACTGTACAACTATTAAACAGATAAAAAATTAGCCCAGTTATAAAACATGTAAAACAGTTCTGAAATGGAACAGAGCAGCATAAATTCAATGAAGAAAATTGGCTGTGTTCAATGAAAATGCCTTCGCTGTTGAGGGCCAAGGTAGAGAGGAAAAGGCATCCAGTACTCTTGGAAGTAGAGGGGACTGGATAGCTCAGTTGGTTAGAGCATGGTGCTGATAACACCAAGGTTGCAGGCTTGATCCCCGTATGAGGCAGCTGCATATTCCTGCATTGCAGGTGGTTGGATTAGATCAGGGGTCTGCAAACTTTTTCAGCAGGGGGCCAGTCCACTGTCCCTCAGACCTTGTGGGGGGCTGAGCTATATTGGGGGGGTGAACGAATTCCTATGCCCCACAAATAACCCAGAGATGCATTTTAAATAAAAGGACACATTCTACTCATGTAAAAACACGCTGATTCGGGCTGGATTTAGAAGGCAACTGGGTGGGATCCAGCCCCTGGGCCTTAGTTTGCCTACCCATGGATTAGATCTTCCTCAGAGTCCCTTCCAACTCTACAATTCTATGATTCTATGACTCCGCTCATCCTAAGCCCTTCTAGCTGAGGTTTCATCCCTCTGCCACACCTTCTTTCATCTGCTCCTTCCCTGTGGTCTTGTCCTGCTGGCTTCTCCTGGGCCCCAATGCTGACAAATTTATTCCCCTCCCTCAAAATCCACTTGCCAATAATCTTGCCCCACTTATTTAGTGCAGTGAGGCATCTGCTCATCTATATTGGCTTCAAGGCAAATTTGGTTTCTCTTCTGAATTAATCTGTGCAGTAATGCAATTCATACATGGATTTTATGTATGTACAGATTGGTGGTGGTGATGGTGCTATTACAGTGTTTGGGGTGTGGGGTGTTTGTTGCGAGTTTCCATTTATTTATGGGTTAATTCACAGAATTAAAACGTCAGGGGAAGTTAGGAAAAACCCGGGGCTCTTTGTTATTTCACTTTTAAAGGTCATGGTTTTGTGTGGAAAGCAATGAAAACTGAAGATAAGTCTCTTCCATGTGGATTAACAAATATGATTTCTATGTCAATATTAATTAGCGGCAAGCTATTAAAACATTGCACTGCTTTCCTTAAATGTAAATCTCACCACATTTTACATCTTAAGATTCCTTCCACTGGTGCTGACAGAAACCCTAATTAAGACTTATAGGTGCCATTTCTTAACATAAAGCTATCCCGTAAAAAGGGAAATATGCTACTGTGTAGTTGCTGGAGGGAACGGGAAGGAAAAGTGAAATATTGAGCAATTTCCTGAATCTTTTCAGCAAGCTAAATTTCAGCCATAAACATGCATTTAACCCAAGGAAGCGAACACCTTCATGTTTTCATCAAAGGGGCCATGGATAGAACCGGTGCAGCAATTCTAATAATAGTTATGATATCAGGATGTTTACCTGCCCAAGCACTACTGTGATGATTACCAGCAATTATAACCAGGCTTGCATATATTCCGTTATTAGCAATAATGACATCTGTACCCACGCAAGCAAAATCGTGTCTTTTTTCCTCATTTGCCTTTAGGTATCTGATCTTTTCAGAGGCTTTCGTTCTCTCATTCTTGTCACAATTGCTGCTGTTGTTTATTTATATGTTCATCATGACATCTGTTCATTTGTGTGTGGTTTTTAAAAGCTTCGCACGTGGCTTTGAGATTTAATAAAATGTGCCCTGGGATCCTATATGGAACAACTTTTGGGGTCCATCCATCTCTCCCAGTGCCACATTTCCTCATGTAACTGACATAATGCCAGTTTTGCATGTAGAATGATGGCATAAATTAGTTCTAAGGGAACAAGGTCCTGGACTGAGAGGGGCAATTCGCAGAGGCACAGTACCCAGAGCTCCCTGTGATGAGGGATTGACTGTTAAACCTCTCTGGGAATTGTAGTTCTGGGAGGGAAATAGGGGTCTCCTAACAATTCCCAGACCCTTAAAAAGCTACAGTTCCCAGGATTCTTTGGAGGGAGAGTCGTGGCCTTTTAAAGTCGCATCACAGCCCTTTGAAAGTATGGTGTGAATGTGGCCCTGGAGTGTGTGATGTCAGGAGCATGGCTGAGAATTTACAAATTCACAGAGTGAATTAACCCTTCTTCAAAACAGGTCTACTAATGCCCCCAAAATGGATACTATTTATAGCTTGAGAATTCTGTTTCTCATATTCTAAGCAGAACAAGTATTTATTATTATTAGTGGCAAGGGAAAATGTGTTCAGGAAAATTCCAGCATAAGGGCAAGGAGAGGCCCACTCACCACACAGCTCTGCTCACTGATAATTGAACTATAGCCCTGATCTGGTTTTGGTTGAGGCTACCCTCATAGTGCAGTTAACCTTTGGGTTGATCTGCCCTTGCTTGGCACAAGAAAACCTGTGTCATGAGGATCACCTGCCTCTCCCTGGTAGAACAACAAAGCGAGAACTGAATTCCCTTGGTTCCAGTTCTGCTTTACAATCTTCAGTTCAAAACTACAAAAAACGGAATAAAACCGACGAAGAAATCTTCCTGGCACCAAACGGGCGAATACATAAATTAAGGAGATTAATTACACCATGATTCAGGCACATACTCATTATCATTAACAAAGAGAAATGAGTCCAAATTTAACAAAGGGGAGGATTATTATTATTTTCCCAGGCAGCAGGAAATCAAAACCATCAAGGAGATTTGGGGGTGGGGGTTTCCTAAGCCGGTGTGACAAATGGGGCTGAAGCTGCTTACCTTCGACGCAGGAGGGCTGCGCTCTTGTTGTGCCAGCCACCTGACCTGGGAAGCAGGAGCACTTGACCGTCTGCGACCGCTCTTCAATCCTGTTCTTGTTGCAGCACCGATGCACTGCCACCACTTCGCAGGTCCCTTGCTTAACTTGGTGGTGGCCTGTTGACGACAAAGGGACGTTCTGCTGAGCCAACTGCGGTTGGTTACCAAAGGCATCCTGTTTGCTTATTTATTTGGAGAAGTTATACCCTGCTTTTCACCTCTGCGACCAATTATCAAAGCAGTTTACATGGAAAATGGAGTGCAACACACAGACTGGGGTCCCGTGAAGTCACTGTGGAAACAGAACAACTTCAGCTCATTCAACTTCCTCCCTGCCCATCCTATCTGCTCTGCAGCTTCCCTCAACCCTCCAGAGAAGATTTTGGGAGGTAGGGGGAATGCAGGGAAAGGAAAAATGTCACAGTGTGAGCAGACATCATTCTGCTCATGCAGTGACTGTTGGATTTAAGCCACCATAATCAATAAAATCCAGTTATTTAAACCAAACTGGGGTGGGGTGGGAATACATAGTAAAAATCAGAACAGCAAGAATGGGAGGGAAAGGTGTTGGTAAACAACTTCGTTTTTCACTTCCAGAGGAAGCCATCCAACTTTTGGGACTCTCTGGATCTCTGTTGGAGTAGGCGCAGAGTAGGCGAAAAAACTCCCCCACCCCAAAAAAAAAAAAAATCAGTTTAGTGACAAATTCTAGGCAATTTTATCACAGCCACGCCCACGCTGACACTCTCAGATCTCTTTTTGACAACCAACAAAACCATTCATAGGAGCAACGTGATTGGAATTCATGGCACAACCCCCGTCCCTAATCTCACAAAACTGAACAGCCATACATCTTAGAAGTAAGTCCCACTGAGTTCAGTGGTAGGAATGTATTATAAAACATCATATTAAACTGATGTCTGGCTAGGTTAGGCCAAAAGCATTGCTTGCTTTTGTTCTGTTGCGGGGGCGTCAAATAGAAGCACTTCCTATCTTATGTGCAAGTAAGTTCTACATTACTGCAGCCTCCTTCCAAATTTGTTGCTAGTTAGTCTTGTTAGCATCCTGGAGTTGTTTGGGTAAGTGCACCACTGGATAACTGTGGCAATGTCCTTTGTTGGGTTTTTATTCTTGCCTTTCATTACACAGAACAAAATGTCAAGGCCCCCTAACTGTCTGCTCGCCAAAGGAAACCGTAATGAGAGCTAAGTACTTAAGGCTGCATCCCTATACCCACTCAGCTGAAAGTGAACTCCAAAGTACTTATTTCTGAATATCCATTCATAGGAGTGCGTAATAAGCACTGAAAGCCTGAAAGCCTGCTCAGACTTACCTGGGAACAAGCTTCAATGAAATCAATGGAACTTACTTCTACATAGGCATGTATAGGAATCCAGTATAGTGGAATGTACATGCACCGGGCTTATCTACATTTCTGCTTGTCCCGTGACTAGAAAGCATGAGCCCAATGTATTGCCAATGGCTCTCAGTGGCCTGTGTTGTTTCTTAATGGCTCTAACTTGGTCAGGTTGTTTTTGCATAAGCTAGCTCAGAACTCCTCTGCCGTTGCTATTTCTCTCTCCACGTCCCAAATAATCAAACTCCTATCATTTATTAATTTCTAGGGTTATTAATTTCGGGGGGGGGATTCCCCCCACAATCTATAACATCTTATCTTATTAGTGCATGCTATAACACTAATATTAATCACATGGCAGGGGAGGGAAACAACTTGCCCAAAATCATGCAGGGTCGTGCCATTCTGGGATCTAAATAGAGATCCAAGGCTAAGCCACTGGGATCCTCTGCCTCTATAAATTCCACATCTGTAATAAGGTGTGATCTGTTAACTGGCATGCAGACCAAGGTTGGTGGGCTGAAAGCTACGCAAGGGGAAATGGAGTCTTCCGTTTTCACGCTGAATAATGTATTTTTAAAAAATGTAAGATTTTATTCCACCCTCCCCTGCCCCCACTGTACTTTTAAACAAAATATGCTACAGCTGCGAGATGCATAATACATTTTACAGGAAGTTGGGAAAACGTTGATCACAGCATAAAAGTGTCTCTCACAGCCACTGTATTATGTTTATTGGCAGGCTGTGTGTTTTCATGGAAGCGCCTGATACCTAAGTAATAGCAATAAAAGGGCTCCATTGGGAAACCGAGGCACTCATTGTAAGTTGAGAAATGAATAAGAGGAGATCACGGCTGCATCCTTCTCTGTTGCGAAAGATCAATCCCTAAAATCTTCCAGCGAACACTATCAAGCGTTAATAAACGGAAGATTAAAATTGTGCAAACAACAACATGACTATCAAGAATGGATTTTGTTATGGAGACTGGAGACTAATCTGTTAGGCAGGGATGACTGGCTAATGTTTCCTCAATAGGAGCTAATGGAAGGAGATGTTTCCTTGATTCCTGAGAAGTGAGAGTTCTTCTTTCAAGTTTTTAGGCTGTAATTCCCAGTTAGGGACTCCTACCTTGAAGTGAACAATCCTCTGTTTGAAAGAGTTCTTTATTTGAAGGGTTGACCAAGGCAAATCTGGTTTAAAGGTCAATAACCATAATACGGGGGGGGGGGGAAGCTTGGAAGTTCCGCCATCAACACCTAGAAAGCGGACTTAACGGGAACACAGGCCATCTGCTCACGTTCTTCCCAGTATGGAGTGATGTAATGTGTTTCTATTAAAATTACAGTAATTGCTTTGAAATTTTAATCAAGACATATACAAGCATATACAAATTTTATGAAAACCTGTGTCCTCTATTTTGGCAAAGCATTTCAATTTGTGGGAAAGGGGGATTGAGGCAGAAGTGGCCACTCTATCATCATTGGAGTTTGGAAAAGTGGCACCCTCCAGTTTAGTGGATGGGGCAGAGAAAGTTTGAAGGAGGTTGCATGTTGGCTTCCAAGAGAGAATCAGAGACAGGGAGTTTTATAGTAATGACCTGGCTTTAGCTGCAGCACCTTCAAGGTTGCTGCCTGCTTTTAGGATCCCACTTGCTTCTAGAAGACAAAGATCTGTTTATATCAAGTAGGTGGCGCTGTAGTCTAAACCACTGAGCCTTGGGCTTGCTGATCAAAGGGTCGGCGGTTTGAATCCCTGTGACGGGGTGAGCTCCTGTTGCTCGGTCCCAGTCCCTGCCAACCTAGCAGTTCAAAAGCATGCCAAAAAGTGCAAGTAGGTACCGCTCCAGCGGGAAGGTAAACGGCGTTTCCGTGCACTGCTCTGATTCGCCAGAAGCGGCTTAGTCATGCTGGCCACATGACCCAGAAAAACTGCCTGTGGACAAACACCGGCTTTCTCAGCCTGAAAGCGACATGAGCGCCGCAACCCCAGAGTCATTCGCGACTGGACTTAACTGTCAGGGGTCCCTTTAATAATAATATTATAATAATTTATTATTTATACCCCGCCCACCTGGCTGAGTTTCCCCAGCCACTCTGGGCGGCTTTCCCTTTACCTTTAGATGTTGCTACAACCCAATGAAGTTTGCAGCACTCCAAAGGCAACTAAACTTATTAGAGTGCCCCTGGGATGCCACCACTGAGGAAAATGAGGAACACATAACAATATTAGCCACCACCACCATTTATGCACATTCTACTCACACGTGACCACATATATGCGGCCCTGGGGGAGAAATAAATAGAATCATGTCAGGAAGTGGTGGGAGAGAGCTGGAGAGTCCTCATGTGGAGACTCTCCCCTGAGCCCCAAGAGGACGTCACTGAGGGTGGAGGAAGCCCCAAGGAGACCAGAGGCACAGTGGGGTTTGTTTGGGCTGCTCAGCCTCCCTGCTAAACTGCTGACATGTGAGATAATGTAGGAGCAGCTGCTTTCTTGCACTGCCTCCAGCCATCTCCAGGCCTTAAATTCTATATATTTTGGTCTGGACTGGAGAGACAGTTGGAGAGCAGCGAAAAATAGGTATTTAGAGGCTTCTCTCCACTTTGCACAATTCCTCTTATGCACACGGGGGCCTGGGACGTAACCCTCACATAAGTGGGGGGGACGCCTGTACTTAAAAAAAAAAAGAAACATTGAGAGCCTCTGGTCCTAATGACCCTCATAATCCATGAGGACCTCCAGATACTCAAAAAGGGTATGAAAATATAATTACAATGAAACATTAGTGCTGCCTAGATTAGAAGATCTTACACAGTATCATGTATCAGTTTTGGAATATCCTATTTAAGTGGAACTGATTTCATTGTTAGAGATTATCCATACATCTATATTTGTGCTTGTCGTGATGTTATGATAGCGGCCTGCTTGCTAAGCAGTGTAACACACAAGGCAGGAACTGCATGGCACCACCATGGCAACTTGAACAAACTGGGCTATATATCTTCTTTCACCGACTTCTCTAAAATTGTATTGTACTTCTCATATGAACCACAACTTCTAACATACGAACTGGGTCTTAGTGTGCTTGTGATATTATTCGGGGTGGGGTTGTCAGTCTGGATGAAATCCTGGATCCAGACCTTGTGATCCTGTATCTGAGGGTAGAGTGTAAAAGGAGAAGCTTGTCAAACCAGTTCCTTCCTTCAGGTAATGGCTTGGCTGGCCAGTTAAGTGCTCATCAGCATATCAAAGAATGAACTAAGTGCCGGTGCTCTCCAGGAAAGATGGGAGTCACTACTCCCTACTGTCCTCACTTGGCTGGAGGCTGTGGGATTCTAGGTAGAAGAACAATAAATAGCCAGCGTTGGTGCTAGGTGTGGTCCTTAAAGCAGGCTGAAGGTGCAGAGAGAGATGTGTTTGCTCTGCGCTGGAATTGGGAGCTCTCATGGATACCTGAAAGGGAAGCAAGATCTATGGGGGTTGTTAATGCTGTTCGCATTGTGCTCAAGTGGGATACTGTTGTTGGCATCCATCTGTCTCAAGAGACAATGGAATGTACCTCTGGAGTTGAAGTCAAACTGGTGTGTTAGCAGCACCCAAGTAACCTCTCCGGTACACAATCCTGGACTGTGTGTGTGGAGATCCTGGGCAGAGGTTTAGGATCAAAGCCTTCTGCTACCCTACCAGGTTGACAAGCCCCATCTGCCCCTCACCTCCCACTACATCATGTGCAGAAGCTGCCTTCTTGACCATTGAACCTACTATTGGTCTCATCCGCTCAATCTGCCAGAGCCTGTCTTTGTATGCAGGGGAAGTCCCTAAATCACCAAGGTTTTGAGACCCATTGGCTACCCTCACCTGATTTAGCCAGCCAGTTAAAGCAGTTTCCTGGGGTTTGTTCGCTGTTGTATGCTGGCAGCTTCTAGGAGCCACAGGTGAGAGCTGAGTGTAGGGTGGGGACCAAAGGTGGACAAACTACCCCAGAAGGAGCACGGTGTGTCTCCCGCCAGAGGTACTACCTTAACATGCCATACACCCCATATTCCCTAAAGATACCCATGATCTTCATTCTGAGGGAACTGGATCCTGGAAAAGCTCTTGTAACCCCCAGGATCTCTCACTGCTCAGAGACTGGGGAGCTTATTGATAAGTTTGGTTGGACCATCATTTATTTTTATTTTTTCTGCAGTGAGATCAAATATTCTCTTGATTGCTCCTATTCTCCTCTCAGAAAGGCACTGAAAGCAAAATTTGAGTAAAGCCATTGTTGTTGGTTTGCTCGCAGAGGTCACTGAAAAGCTTAAGCCTGGCTATGAGATATGTGCCATTCAACTGATTCACCGCTTGGACAAGAGCTCTCCCCCACCTCCTGCCAGCACCAACCATACCTACACATGTATTTTGGTATCGACGCAGATATATACTATGATCACTGAGCACCGGGTAAATTTACGGCAGGTATTGTATGAAATTGAAACAACTCACATTGAAAGCTAAAGTGCAGATAAATTACAGCAATGGGAGCATTGTGCTTCACCACAGAGCTGAATGCTGGAAGATGACAGCTGCGGTCTCACATAAGTCAGAGGCACTTCAAAACAACTGTCTGCAGAGAGTAATGTGGGGAGGGGGAGAGAGCGGGTTGGAGAAACTAACAAATGGAGAACTGCAGATGTGCCAAAAGGGAGAAAACAAGATGTCATTGGCTGGGTCTTATATGCGGTATGGCATGTGGTGTGTCCTATCAGGGCATTCAATTGACAAGAGTACAAAGAAACATGTGAGGGGAAGGCTGGAGAAATTCATCCCACTCTACCAATCTGAGCAGTATCTGCACTATACACTTAAAGCAGTATCATACCACTTAAGTGGCCGTGGTGTCCCTCAGAGAATCCTGGGAGATGTAGTTTGATAAGCCTGCTGAGAGTTGTTAGGAGACCCCCCAATTCCCTTCACAGAACAGCCATTCTCAAAGTGGTTCAGCAGTCAATCCCTCTTCCCAAAGAACTCTGGGGATTGTAGCTCTGTGGGGAGGAACAGAAGAGGAGTTTGGATTTGATATCCCACTTTATCACTACCCGAAGGAGTCTCAAAGCAGCTAACAATCTCCTTTCCCTTCCTCCCTCACAACAAACACTCTGTGAGGTCAGTGGGGCTGAGAGACTTCAGAGAAGTGTGACTAGCCCAAGGTCACCCAGCAGCTGCATGTGGAGGAGCGGAGATGCGAACCCGGTTCACCGGATTACGAGTCTATTTCTCTTAACCACTACACCAAGTCAACAAACAACTCGTAGCACCCTGAACAGTTCCCAGGGTACTTTGGGAGAAGCCATAACTGTTTAAAATGGGATGATATGACTCCACATGTACAGTGGTACCCCGGGTTAAGAACTTAATTCGTTCTGGTGGTCCATTCTTAATCTGAAACTGTTCTTAACCTGAGGTACCACTTTAGCTTAAGAGGCCTCTCGCTGCTGCTGCTGCGATTTCTGTTCTCATCCTGATCCTGAAGCAAAGTTCTTAACCCGAGGTACTATTTCTGGGTTAGCAGAGTCTGTAACATGAAGCATCTGTAACCTGAAGCATCTGTAACCTGAGGTACCACTGTATAGTGCAGATGAAGCCCCAGTCCAGTAGGAATGATGGAGGTGCATGATTGACAGTGGCAATATGTAGTGGTGTTGCAGGTAGCAGCAGTGCTGGGCATTGTGGGGGTGGTAGGCATGGCGATGGGCCCATCTAAGACCCTGGCCTTGTCAGGAGATGCCCGTCCATGCCAACTCAACACAAATCCTGTCAAATACCTTATTTCCCATTTTCGGTAAAGACACAGCCAGATCGCTTGAGCTAAGAAGTTTTGCTGGAGAAGAATCAACGTGGCTTCTGCAAAGCTCTGCCCCATTTCACTAACTTCTTAGAGTTCACTGGGAGTGTTGACAAGAATGTGGATACAGATGATCTAGCAGACATTATATCCTCCAGCTTTCAAAAGGCTTTTTGACAAAGTCGCTCATTAAAGGCAGCTCAACTTTATCAATGGTTCAAGAACAAGGAGCAGACAGTAGGAATACAGTTGTCACAGTGGAGGTGTGCTAGTGTGCTAAGTTGTGGGGACTGGTGCTTTTCAACTTGCTCAGGAATAACCTAGATTCAGGGGTGAACAGTGAGATGGCTAAGTGTGATGCTACCAAATTATTCAGGGTGTTAAAAACAAAAAGGAGTTCAAAACACTCCAAAAGGGAAATGGTCAATCCAAAGGGAAATATGGTTCAGTGTCAGTAAGAGTAAAGTAGGGACCACAAAGAAACAAACCCAACTTTAGCTACATACTAGCAGGCTCTGAACTGCTGATAATAGACCAAAATCTTGGGGTAGTAACGGATAACTCAATGGAAACATCAATCCAGTGTGTGGAGCTGTGGAGGACAGCTTGACAACAATGTTGATTCGGCCTGTGGCAGATGCAGAAAAGGCAAACCCCATGCCAGGAGTCATTAGGAAAGGGAGGAAAAATAAAACTGTTGCTATTGTAATGCCTCTACACAAATCCATGGTTTAATTACACTTGGAAGACTGCAAACAGTTCTGCTTGCTTCATCTCAAAAAGAATATTTTTGAGCTGGAAATGGTGCAGGAAAAGGCAAGCAAAATGGTTAAAGGGATAGAGTAATTCCCCTATGGGGAAATATTTCATTTCTGGCTCTCTTTTCATTTAGTTAAAACATTTCCATCTCTCCTTTAAAAACTCAAGGAAACAACAACAAATTTACTATAAGGAACAAAATACGAAAAGGGGGAAGGCAGCCATTCAAACAAGTAGACATTGTCCAGGGATAAAAAACTGTTCAGTATAGCAAGTTAAAACACAAATCAATGGAGGATCTTAAAACCATTGGTATTCCAAAAGCCTTGCTAAACAGAAAGGTTTTACGAAGGTTATTAATGAGGAGATGAAATGAGCACTGCTCAGCTGGGAGCTCTAGAGTCACTCATTGTCATGGTGGGCTAGTAAAAGCTAGAGCTTGGCTACCAAGCTGTCATAATTTGCAGTCTCTCCTGGTTGGATGATTTTTTTCATGTTTGCTCTTTGATACTTGGTTGTAGTGAGCAAGCCCAGAGTCAGCACAATCGCTCTTCATGCCTTTGTCTCACCCATGTTCAGATTTCAAAAAGGCCCTGTTCTGGATCTGGAGTAACTGCCTACAACCTTTGAATGCCAAAAGCCATCCGTTCAGCAAACAGGCTAGCTGCCAATGTCGGCTACCTGTTTTGCAGCCTGCAGTCAAGTGCTCCAAGGCAGAGCGTTTCAAAAAGAATGAACAGAAAAGAAAGCTGGTGGGTTTCCTCTCCCGCCCATTTGACACCCAATCGTTTCCCAAGCAACAAAAGCTTCCAGCTCTTTCTTTGAGTGGCACAGCTTTACTGCAGGAGAGACCAGCTCATGAATAGCCTCAAAGCATCTTGTAATCAGTGTGCCACAACTCGGCAAGCCAGTGGAGCTGAGAAGTAGGAATGGAGAAGATCATAGAGAGTGAATTCCGTGAGATATCAGGGAAGGATAGAAAGTGGAAGGCGCTCGCTATAAATTCGCATGTTGAAGAATAAAGTCCTTAAAATTGGGTGGAAGACAGTGTGTTCTTGATTAACCTCTTAAATGGTATGACACAGTGGCACTCAAAAAGTTTATAGTGCCAGTACTACAGTGGTACCTCAGGTTACATACGCTTCAGGTTACATACGCTTCAGGTTACAGACTCCGCTAACCCAGAAATAATACCTCAGGTTAAGAACTTTACTTCAGGATGAGAACAGAAATCGGGCTCTGGTGGCATGGCAGCAGCAGGAGGCCCCATTAGCTAAAGTGGTGCTTCAGGTTAAGAACAGTTTCAGGTTAAGAACAGGCCTCCAGAACGAATGAAGTACTTAACCCGAGGTACCACTGTACTGCATTCCAGTAAGCTGAAAACAGGGCTTAGTGAGCTGGGAGAGTCTGTGAAGTTCAGAATCTTTGTGGAAGAATATCAAGAAGGAGTTTAAAGACAAAAGAACAGTTTGACAGGGACAAGGTTCCTAGCATGACAAAGGTGTGGAGATTTTATTTATATTTACCATGTGCTTGTATTATAGGTGGAAAACAAATACCGATCCACTTTGCTACCCTTCATGCTGAAAAGTGACAAGCTGAGGAAACCACCTGCGTCTTACAAGCAATTTATTGGTGTGGAATCATAAGGGTGCAATAAACTAGAAGTGTATTTGAAATCAAGGTGTGTGACCTCAAGTTCTGGTAATGAGAGACCCAAGAAGTTAGCTAAATCAAAACCATGACCTTTCATGTGTACTAGCAAAGGAAAATGCTGACAGCACAGGAGCAGACTGTACAGCACACTAAATTCTTTGGTGGGTGTCAGAGGCCACATCTGTATGGAGATTAAAGTCCACTGAAAATAAGTAGCGTGGGTGACCTTAGATCAGATATGAGCCAAAAGCTTCACCAAGAAAAGGAGCACAGCACTGGATTGGAGTGGTCGATTAATCAAAGCGGCTTTGACAGTAGTGGGTGCTCCAAGCCGGCAAAGTGGAGACTTGTTGTATACAAATAGAAATTGGGTGGGAAGTGACCCATAAGAAATGAAAAATAAAACTAAGGACATCTCTGCCAGCTTAGGTCAGCTAGAACTTAATACACAAGTAGGTATCTCTTTTGTCAGGGTGCCGGGAGCTGGCCCAGTTCCAAAATATGCCCTGTACGTGTGACATCCATTCCTACAATGTTTTGTGTTCTTATTTCAAGGTTCCAATGCCCTTATTTTAAGGGTTCAGTTTGATTCATCTTGGACATTATTGTATACAGGTGACAATGCAATTCTGAATAGAGATAAGCGTCATGATGCAGTTTTACAAATCTCTTGGGTCCTAATGCTTACTCTAAAAGAACAGGTATAAAGGGTGCAGGGCTCTTTGCTACATAGTTTCACCATGAAGCCCTTATGCATTTCTTATGATTCTGAATCTGTTAATGTTTAGTTTGGTTTTATACTTGCCCCTATCCCTAAAGCTCTGGGATGGATACAACATTCCAGAAGGCAATCATATAAGCTGAAACCTCTATGGTTTGTATCCTCTTCCCACTAAGTGACCATAACCAATTTGTTCACATACCTCTCTCTAAGGCCACCAAATCTCTTTCCTTTAGAAGCACAAACCAAATTTATGCTGCAAAACTAGGGCTTCTGGATGTTCTGAACCCAAAAATATATTGGATCTCTCTTTACAACATCAGGGAGCGAGTTCCACCACTGGAGAGGGAGATGAGATGTCTGATACCTCTCTTCTGTTGCCTCAGAGACCTCACTTGCCTTGTCTTGGCAAACGCCCAAGCTCTGATCTTGGTAGGAATCAAGGAAGTGGGGGGCATCAGGGTGGTTCAGGGGTATACCAGGGAAAGACCAGGAAATGGTTTGGATCAGAAGGAATGGTTTAGACCAGCCACACATGTCCCCAAACTGGACAGAGATTTTCCCTGACTTTTTTTTAACCTGCAAAACAGGTGGAGAAGCATGAAAGTCCTCATCCACCCTCACTTCCACTTTGCCAATGGAAGTTCTGGATAAAATGGTTCACTTGCTTCTAGTTCTCTCCACCACCACAGTAGAACTTCATCTGAAATCTTTTTGTATTACACCTGAGAAAGGAGTCCTAGCCACTTTATGATCCCGTTTCTTTCTATCTTGAGCCATACATCCATTATTAAATCCCCTTCATTTTGTCCCCACTGCCTCTCAGTTCATTCCACTCAGCTCTACCCTTCAGCCCATTTAAAGCCATAAATTTGGAATCAGGTATCTAGGAGACTGCCTTGCCCATGATATGGGACATTGCCCTTGAGGTGAATGTTGCTTGTGTTAAAAACTGGGCTTTCAGTGCCAGCTCTTTGGAATCTGCTACCAGCCTAAATTAGACAGGCACCTAGCATGGTGGTGTTTAGGTGCCCACTAAAGACATTTTTGTTTAGGAAGGCTTTCTGTAAGGTATAACCCAGTCATTTATGGAAGATCAATTTTATATTTGATGAAATATTTTCTTTTTCTTTTTTGAATTTGTATGGATGGCTTTATTGGGTTAGAATTTGTTGCATAGACTTTATTGTTCTTAGGGTTTGTGTTTCTGTGTTTTATTCTATTTTCACCCTGTAAATCTCTTCCTACAGCTTTATGCCATAAATCAGTCTATAAATTTATTTATTGATGATTATGATGATGATTCATTAAAGGGCCACTCTGCTACTTAACCCTGCAAATCATCCATTTAAAAAGTCCTGGGACAAAAGGATCAAGAGATGAATTGAGCATTATCTATAAACAAACCAGTGGAACATTGGCTCATCTGGGTACATGCATTACCTTTTGTATAAGGGGAGTTGACAAATGCTTTTGAGGGAGGGCACAAGGACATGACTGAGCCACAGAAGTCCCAGTATTAATTAAAAAGATAATTCAGTGCATACTTTGTAACACTAGAAGTTTGATTTGATCTCTTCTCAAAATGGGATTCTTTCGAGAATAATTGAATTCATAATGGAATTCGTAATGGAACACGCCGCCTCTGAGATGTGCTTCTTGTGCAGACACTGCAGGCAAAAAAAATGTGGGCTAAAGTCGCACCAAATCAAGATGAATGGTAGCAAAGATCAGCGCAAGGGAGCCCATAGTTATTCTTGATTTCTCAAGAGGAACAACATGAGCAACTGCTCTCTCTCCCTCCTCGTTCATCAAGAACGATGTGATAATCTGCAAATGCATTTTATAGAACTGCAAAGGCAGCAGAGGTGGCTTCGTCGAGAGCAATCTACTTTGTCTGGAAACAAGAAATGACATTTTAATATGAGAGGCATGCATTAAAATCTAAGATGACTGGACTGCCGGAAGATGTTTCAAGCAATCAGGCTGGCTTAATGTCCTGGGTGGAGGCTATCAAGTGCTTCTCAGCTAGTCATTAATCCTCCGGAAAGGCCTTCGGCCTTGAAAATGCTGTTTAATTACTTTCAGAGTTTTGCTCATTTTTATAGCAGGCCTTGCATCGCTTTTCACAATTGTCTTGGGCTTGTTCAGATGAAACAGATGAGAACAATATCCCAACTGTTCCAAGTTTAAAAATCCACTTGTTTACCATAAAATAATGACCCATAAAGTCTAAACAGCCCAAAAACTTTTTTTAAAAAAAGAAATCTGAAAGAACACTTTCAAAGGTTTAATATTGCCACCTTGCTTGCATGGCTATTCGAAGACTGAATGCTTATATATTCTTTTTCATGCAGGCCCATGTGTGAAGATGCAAGCGGAGAGGAAACGAACCTTTCTCCTTTATTGCCGCTCTTGAATTACGGCTTTAAAAACATAACTGGCATTTTACATTCCACTGGATCCCATTCTGCAGCCATGAATCAAGAGCTACATAAAATCATCATCAGAGACAGATAATGCTGCAAGAATCATAAAAGCAGCCCACAGTTTCTCACAGGCTTATATTAGAATCCTGTGTTGTAATGTTATATGGCTCTGAAGTTTAATTTTAAAAGTGGCCAAAGTTACAGGGTTCCTGTATTTGCTCCTGGACAAGGACCTGATCCGATGACATCCAAAGGTCTCGACCAGCTGTTCCTCTTTGGGGTTAAAAGCAGGGGTTGTTAACCTGTGGTCTGCATGACCAGTGGTCCGGGACAGAATCATAGAATTGTAGAGCGGGAAGGGACCTCAAGGGTTATCTAGTCCAGCCCCCTGCAATGCAGGAAGGACAGTTAAAGAATCTCTTACAGATGACCCTCCAACCTCTGTTAAAAAACTTCCAGTGAAGGAAAGTCCACCACCTTCCAGATGATGGGAGCTGTAGTCCAAGGACCATGGGGCAAGCTGGCCAGCCAATGGGGGCAGTGGTCCAACAACAATTTGACAGGCCACAGCTTAGCCACTTCTGGAGCAAAGTGCAGAGCAACTGAAAGGCTTCCTTTCCATGTAACCAACCTACCTAGGGCTCTCTTCTGCATGTGTAAAGAGAGAGATTTTGAAAAGCAAAATTTTAAAGGGGTAAGGGATACAGTTTGCCACAGGCAAACAGTATTCCGCAGTATAACTCCACAAACATTTACGGGACTGCCTCTCCTGGTATGCCCCTCAGAGGACCTTAAGGTCCATGAATAACCATAGTTTAGAGGTCCCAGGCCCTAAGAAAGTCAGACTATCCTCCACCAGGGCCAGGGCCTTCTCAGTGATGGCTCCAACCTGGTGGAATGCTCTGTCCCATGAGACCAGGGCCCTGCAGGATTTAACTTCCTTCCGTCGGGCCTGTAAGACAGAGCTATTCCGCCTGGCCTTTAATTTGAACTCAGCCTGATCTTTTATTTCCCTTCCCTTCTCTTCTCTTCCCTCCCCCTCCCCTTTTATGAAGATTACCCGCTCTGAGACCCCACAGCTAATTTTCCCCTAGCCTCCTCGCTGGCTTCTGACCATGGAGGCAGAACCCTCCTGCAAAACTAATCAGTTCTAACCAGAGACAAATGCACAAGTAATCCAAGTAAATTCACCCAACTGCATCACATAAAATGTTGATGTGAAATTTCACTTTGCCTTGGGAATTTGAATTCAAACCAGAAATGTGAAATGTTATCCTCAAAACAAAGAGCTTCAGACATGCACGTCTTGAATTCCTTTGATCTGGCATGGATCAAAACTTCATAAATTGTTAGCCATCAATTGCTGTAAAAAGCTCAATACCATCGCAATGTTAAATGAAAAGCAAAAATTCTACAAATTTTTGAGGAGCATATTTTTTGGAGGGGTGTGTGAGAAAATTAACTTCACCTATAGTTTATAAACCACCCTTCTAGAATGGCTGGTATAAATGAAGGTTGATCTGGAAGCTGCAGCCTGAGGTAAACCCAGCAGTTTGACTGTTAACTGGAGCAGCATTGTGAACAGGTGACATTCAAAGAACAGCACTAGCTGCCAACTTGCTACTCGACCAGGTTTAAGGTTCTGTCACTGATAAGTCCTAAAACAATTTGCAACCTGGTTACTTTAAGGAGCCCCTGTTCCCATACAGACCTGCCTGATTTGTGAGACCTCAGGATGATGACAACAACAACAACAACAACAACAACAACAACAACAACAACAACAACATATTTTTACCCCATCCATCTGGCTAGGTTTCCCCAGCCACTCTGGGTGGCTTCCAGCAAAAAATTAAAAGTACATTAAAACATCAATCATTTAAAACTTCCCTAAACAGGGCTGCCTTCAGATGTCTTCTAAACGTCAGATAGTTGTTTATTTCTTTGACATCTGATGGGAGGGCGTTCCACAGGGCAGGCACCACTACCGAGAAGGCCCTTTGCCTGGTTCCCTGTAACTTTGCTTCTCGCAGCGAGGGAACCGCCAGAAGGCCCTCAGGACTGGACCTCAGTGTCTGGGCAGAACGATGGGGGTGGAAACGCTCCTTCAGGTATACTGGGCCCTCCTGGCTGTGTCACAGCCTGCAAGAGTCCACTTGACTTTCCATCTGTGGGGCAGGGCTTTGTGCTGTGGCAGCTGGCTCGTGGAATCATCTCCGCCTTGAAATAAGGCAGGTGCTAACTCTGCTGAGTTTCTGGCACCTCCTAAAAATGCATTTATTCAACTAGGCCTTCAATAATAAGCTACTGAGAATTGTCCAGCTACTGCAGCTGTTGCAGTATTTACTGTAATTATTAGATTTTTATATTTATTGTTGTTGTTATATATTCATTCCACTTATTGCCAAACAGGCTTCTAGATGGTTAACAAAGTATAAAAAACAGTTACGCAAACATTAAAATATGAACACCCATAATTAAAATAGGCAATAAAACAATCCAGCTGAAAAAACATAGCAATTAAAACAGGAGGCTCAGTTCAAGGGAGTGCCTGTTTAAACAAAAGCCAGCAGGGAGCATGTTCCATACCATGGATATTTATGTGCTGCAAACCATCTTGGTTTTGTTTGTTCTTAAATCAAGAGTGGTATAAAAATGATTTTAAAAAATAAGGACAAGTTTTAGAATCATAATATTGCTTATAATGGTGATACCTTGGAAGAAACTAAATTATTTTTCTCAGGTTAACAAGGGGACAGACCTATTTCCTCCTCCTCTGAAAATCCATTCAATCTAACACATGCATATTAGACAGAAATCCTTACAAAGAACTTCAGGTAATTTAAGTGAGAAGAGAAGCGCCTGAGGCGAATTACAGAATTCACTGCCACAAGATGTGGTGATGGCCACTGGCTTAGAAGGCTCTAAAAAGAGACCTAGTTGTGGAGGAAAAGGCTATCAATTACTGCAAATCATAATGCCTGTACACCACTTCCAAGACCAAGAGCACCATGCCTCTGAAAACCAGTCACAGATGAACAACAGCAAGAGAAGGTAGAAGTCTATCAATGGCTCCTAGTTGGTGGCCTAGTTCTGACATAGCAGGAAACCATGGTTTCTTGCTCTGTGCTTGCATGAGCACTAGGTTTGCATACTTCTCCCTCCTGTTGCTACCTCTTTGTTTTTGTCCACCCATGTTTAAACAAACTATAGCTCCCCATCACTGAAACCACAGCACAATCCTGGTGTGTTCTCAGTCACTAGCATTAAACCCACAGTTCAGATGCAACATAGAAATGCTCTTTGTTTAAAATCAGAATCAAAAGATCCTGATATCCTTCTTTGATACACACAAATAAAAGAACAGGTGAAAGACAGTACATCAACCTAAAGCTAGACTGGTGGCTAAATGTTAAGAGGAGTTCCTCAGGTTTGAGGAACCTTTGGTTTCCCTTGAAATCAACAGGTTCTCTCACTGGGTGGATTCCCCACCCTCACGCCCCAAAACCCTGTTGTGACCAACAGAAGGGATAGAGACGAATGAGAAGGATCATTAAATAGATAGGGCACAAGAATGAGGCCAAAAGGGCAACTAGGATTAGATTAAGGGACAGTGCTTTTCTGGAACAGCTGCAGGAGTTAAGAAATTGGCATGTAGAAGCAGAACATTAATATACACATTGCCCTGCTTGCGTTGCCTCAAGCTTTACGAACACCTCTTCCTGAATGTGATTAAAGGTGACCTGATACAATGGACATTATTCCGCTGTCTCTAGAAACATCTAATTAAAATGGCTATTCTCCGCACAAATAAGTATTTCGCTTATTTAGAAGCTTGTCTTGGATTGCCTCGTTAAGGAATAACAAGTTCTTGTTAATATGGCAGAAATGCTTCTCAAAGCCACAGGAATCTTCAGGCCATAAAAGTATTGCAAAGGTAGCTTAGCTACTTACAATGTGTTAGTTCCCAATTAATGAATGAATAACAAATGATAGACTTTAACACATAGGTTGCCCTGAGAACTGGAGAAGCAAGAAGAAGAGCACTCCAACTCCTGCCCCCTGCCAGAGGATCAAGGGCCACTGAGAGGTCACAGCCTCTTCCCTCCAAGACATCATGCCAAGGGGGAAACCATCCTGGTCCAACACATCATCCAGAAAACGAGAAGCTGCTCCAAACGCCTGTTGTCCTGGGAATCCAGAAGTGTGAGGAAGGACACTCTAGCCCTGTTCACGCTTTCCTTCCACATGTTGACTGAATGCGGAGAAAGCAATGGAATCACATCCATTGGAGCTGGACCTCTGATTTATTTGGGTGTACAGCTTAATGTGCACATAAACCCACATGCTGTGGTAGGAGGCAGAGTCTTGAGAATGAATCCATTGCCCCAGCCCCACCACATGCCCTCATCTCCACAAGTTGAAGGCTGAAAATATGATGCAGGGAGCCTTCTCTATTTGTGTAGGCTCTGCAAGTTATTTAAAAGGTAAAGGTAGCCCTGACCGTTAGGTCCAGTCACGAACGACTCTGGGGTTGCGGCTCTCATCTCGCTCTACAGGTCAAGGGAGTCAGCGTTTGTCCACAGACAGCTTCTGGGTCATGTGGCCAGCATGACTAAGCCACTTCTGGTGAAACCAGAATGGCGGAAAGGCCATTTACCTTCCCACTGGAGCGGTACCTATTTATCTACTTGTACTGGTGTGCTTTTGAACTGCTAGGTTGGCAGGAGCTGGGACCGAACAATGGGAGCTCACCCCGTCGCGGGGATTCGAACCGCTGACCTTCTGATCGGCAAGTCCTAGGCTCTGTGGTTTACTATCCCCAAATAATTATGGTGTGTGTGTGTGTGTGTGTGTGTGCGCGCACACACACACACACACACACACACACACTGTACTGTACTGTACTGTACTGTACTGAAGAGGGCTACTGAGATTGACATGAATGACATGAAGTCTTAGAAGGCAGTGACCAAACTGTCCGCCACTCAGTCCCATCACCCAGTCTAAGAAAGGACTTTCTTTTCTCCACACCTTCTTCCCTGCCTGCATCTTGCAGGCTTCTCTGTTTCTCTTACTCCTGGGCAACAGAGAGCTTTACATTCTTTCTATTGGATGCCTGTGCACCTGCTTTGATGGTGCTGCCAAGGTATTGGCAGCCTGGCAAGCCGACAGGCCATGAAGATGACTCCAACCATGTTTCCAACCATGTCCTTGTCCATGTGGTGGGAAGGAGGAGATGTGAACGTTTCTCAGCCCTGCATCCAAAGATTCACAGCCCAATTTATGAAAACAGCTATAGCTTCCATCAGTGCCAAAGCTTCAACTAATCAGTCAGTCCTCCACTTGAGGTGTATCAGATGAAGCACTACTCCCATGTATTGTGTACATCACACATTCAAGAGAGGTGACAGTATCCCACATTTGTGCATCTTTCAAGCTTTTCAAGATTGATGGACATTTTCAAGATTGATGGGCATGGCAGGATACAGTGGTACCTTGGGTTACAGATGCTTCAGGTTACAGACGCTTCAGGTTACAGACGCTGCTAACCCAGAAATAGTACCTCGGGTTAAGAACTTTGCTTCAGGATGAGAACAGAAATCATGCCGCAGCTAAAGTGGTGTCTCAAGTTAAGAAAAGTTTCAGGTTAAGAACGGACCTCTGGAATGAATTAAGTTCGTAACCCCAGGCACCACTGTATTGTTTATTCACATACATACACACACACACACACATATATACACACACCCATGCAGAGTGAGAAAGAGAGCTATTATATCTTAAGTCACATTCTTTTTGAATATGTTAGAAAATAATCTTTTTAGGCCTTGATCTCCAAACTCGCTACATCTCCTAACTTGCAGCATCAATGCTTAAGATGGGATGCACTAACCATTGTGTTGTAGTTGCACTAATTATAATGCACTAATTATTTCATATTAATATTGTAGAGATGCTATACTATACCCCAAAGACAGACACGCTGTCAAATATTTAGAACTGGTGTGTCGTAAGTCCTACAGCTTCTGTCATATTTTTACTATTCATAATCTAAAAGCAGAAGTCATTTATTTTTCTTAAAGCTTCAAAACCCCATTAACATAATTGCATATATTTTTATCAGTCAACTTAAAGACCATGTCTGGCTTAAAAGTAATAGCTTTCTCAAGACTTTTTACATGATGCCTAATTTTTATATAATTTATACATATATACACACACACATGCATGTGCAGTGCCTTAAAACATCTTCATTTACATATTGTTTATCAGCTTGTTTATGTTGCACAGACCAAGAAAAGAATTTGATAGTTTTCATTCCCATCCCCAAGCTTGGTTTTGGGTGTGAAGAGATTTAAAAGTGTTCATTTCATTTAACAAAAAAACCTCATGCATATAAGACATATTATTAGAAATAGTGTTTTCATGATAAGAAAGGCTCATGTTAGATATATATATATATATTTATCTGGGTTGTGAGATTGGTGGCAGATCAGCAGATGGCCTGAGGTTATCATAAATATGTAAGTTCCAGGAAACAGCCTTATTTGAACAGCGTCCAGAAAGATAACAGCATGTATTACCAGCACGGCTAACACACAAAATGCTTGACCAAAGCAGGAAAACAAGATATGTCATGTTCTTCACTTAACTTTGAAACCTCGATGGGCAGCTTGAGCTAAAGATGTTTCTCTGAATGTGAGTTGCCTGGAACTGTAAGTGGGGAGATCTTCCTTATCAGCTTCCTGTTGTCATCTAGTTAAAAAGGTAAAGGTAAAGGGACCCCTGACCATTACGGTAGGTCCAATCGTGACCAACTCTGGGGTTGCGGCGCTCATCTCATTTTATTGGCCAAGGGAGCCGGCGTACAGCTTCCGGGTCATGTGGCCAGCATGACTAAGCCACTTCTGGCGAACCAGAGCAGCGCACAGAAACACCATTTACCTTTCCGCTGGAGTGGTACCTATTTATCTACTTGCACTTTGACGTGCTTTCGAACTGCTAGGTTGGCAGGAGCAGGGACCGAGCAAAGGGAGCTCACCCCGTCGTGGGGATTCGAACCGCAAACCTTCTGATCAGCAAGTCCTAGGCTCTGTGGTTTAACCCACAGCGCCACCCGCGTCCCACTGTCATCTAGTTAACCACTGTAAAAACAGGATACTGGACTAGAAGGACCTTTGCCTTGATCCAGCAGAGCTCTTCCAAAGTTCTAGCACACATCAGCGTTTTTGAAGTCGAATTTGTATGGAAGAAGGGATGGTGGAAGAAAAGCTGCATTGAATTTACTGCTAGGGTGGAGCCTGTCACTGCCGAACTGTCATTAACCCCACATGCCCCTCGGGTTGTTTACGGGAGTAGAGAGTCAGACTTTTAGAGATGAGAGTTAGCACATAACTTCTCCTTGCTAGTCCTTCTCTGTTTTATGTGCACCCATAGCCCAGAAACAGATGGAAACTTTAAACGAAGTGGTTCTGGGTGTAAAAATCAAGGCACCTGCAACCAATCACAACTGACACATTCCCTGTACAACACAAGTCTTCCAGAGACTTACTGGAGTTGTGAAATTACAGACAAAGCAGTTCATTTCCTGCCACCCAACTCCTGACCCAAGAAGATATGAACACCAAATGAATGGCCCTCAAAAGAAAGATAAAATATAAGCCACCAGCCAATGGAGGTGTAACAATAGCTGAAGGGACATTTGTGTATGTGCTTGTCACATTCACACTTTGTATTTTAAGGTGTACACTCAAAACGTCTTTCCACATAAAGGAATGTAATGTGCCCACAGGTCCAGTACTACAATCATCTGTCTCCCTATCCTGGCATTTAAGATTGGCCTGAAATAATTTTCTATATATTATACAAGGATTGAATAAATATTATGCCAATGATCAACATTCAAAATTACATTAGGGCTCAAAAGAGGATGTGGATCTAGCTTGGCAAAGCGTCAAACACCTTCAATGGATATTTGGGAATCCAATCACGACAAACAATAAGCCTGTGAGCGCAGCCTTTAAAGATGAAGCCTTCTTGTGGCCTACACCTAAATTACTGTGTTCTCACAGAGAGAAAAAATGAATAAATACCTCAGACATTCCCTCCTTCTTCCGCTCATGACATGGATGTGTCAGAAGCTAGCTAGTCTGCACAGGTACAGATCTTTGCCACAGGCTAGTCAAGTTATATTCATTTCAGTTCCTTCTGCTGCATCCTTTAATGTCAATTTTCACTCTAATACATTCCAGGAGTGCAGAGATAAAATTAGAATTGTCATTACACAAGAAAAAGCAAAGAATCTACCATGCAATTGCCTCAGGTTCTTCTGCCATGATGACACACACACAGGGAAATAGATTGAACAGAACCGCAATGGTGCCCAAAAGAGGAACCTTTTCTCCCATCAAACACTGAATCTACAAAACCATTTTCAATACCACGGTGAATCCCAGATGATTAAGTGGAACCAGCCACCACAGGAGATATATCGGCCAGTTATCAGAGTGCATGAAAATAATGCAGGGAAAACGCTGTGGTACAAAAAAGAAGAAGAAAAAGAAAAAGGCAGAGAATAAATTAAAAATCATAGATAGTCGATGCAATGCAATTCCTCTCCCAAGAAATGTTCTGAGAGGCTATTGTTGTTGTTGTTGTTGTTGTTGTTGTTGTTGTTGTGATTTCCATCTAAGTCATAGAGTAGACCTACTGAAATTAACATGTATAACTTAAGCCCACTGATTTCAATGGGTCTACTTTGAGGACGACTCACTTTGGCTATCACACATTATTTATTAGTTTTATGTATGTAGCTATCTACAAATACACATTCCCTGGGGTGTTTACAACAAAATATTTCAAAGACAGTATGCAGTAACAACTACATCTATAACCTGAACACGCCTACGCTATGCACACAAAGCCTCTAAGCATGAAGATGCAATGGGTGGAGACCACAGATGATATTCCATGCGCTCATTGTACATTTTCTAGACCATGTGGAAAGGACTTCAGTGTTAAAAGATGGAGGCTAGACTTCACTTTTCCATTTAGGCGTGAATGCCGTCCATTCACCGATTTGGGGGAAATAAAGGGATGCACTCACAGACATAACTAGGTTAGTGGACAAGACCTGCTGTCTGCTCCTGACAGTCAAGGCCACTCTTGCCTTTTCAGTGTGACATGTTGTTCCAAATTGGCTTTTACACACACATACACAGAGATGCCAGTATTTAAGGATTAAAAGGACTTTGGAGACTACCAGCTGCAAGAAAGAAGGAGATGAAAACTGTTAATTTTTTGGTAGAACAATATTCGCTAAATATTTAATCAGGCATGCTGAGGTCCAGAAAGGTTTACGCCAGCGTGGCAGGACAGTGTACTAATAATGACTTCTGCTAACAGTCTATATACATATAGTTTAAGGCTAGATAGTTTATTTTAATTATTCAGCACAGAGACTGAATGAGGTTAATGTTACCCAGCAGACATCTGTGCATTTTTAAGCCCTTGCTTCTTCATAAGTGGCAACTGGCAAATAGTGTCGGTTGTGTGCACATGCGATGCACTGAGCTCACAGTTTGGTGGCATCCAACAGAGGTAATTCATCTAGCTGTGTGAGTCCCTTCTCATGGAGTAAGAGCCCTCCTAGGCCAAAGGTTTGTCTGATCTAGAAGCCCGCTTCTGCTGTGGCCATTTGCCTGTCACCGGCGGCGGAGCAAGCCGATCGGGCACCTAGGGTGGCGCACGTTAAATGTGTACTGTGTAGTTGACCTCCCTTGCAATGTTCTATTTTGAAATCTTTAAGATAACATTTTAGGTTCCTGTTAATTATGTTGCTTTGAATGTATCTTTTATATTTGACGTTATTCAGCAACATTTTATTCTGGATTGTTTTATCTGAAGTTTTAATGTGTTGTTTAAACACGCTGGAGATTTTTTCCTAAAAATGAAATGTTTCCTAAAAATGAAATAAAAATGAAATGAATAGTAATAATAATAATTTGCCGCCCCCATAAGTCCAGCAACAGAATTTAAAGGCAAGAGACCCTTGTCACTTGCTCTGTTGATTCCAAGGTAAAAGTAAAGGTAAAGGACCCCTGGACAGTTAAGTCCAGTCAAACTTGACTATGGGGTGCAGTGTTCATCTCACTTCAGGCCAAAGGAGCCGACGTTTGTCCACAGACAGTGTTCCGGGTCATGTGGACAGCATGACTAAACCGCTTCTGGCACAACAGAACACTGATGGAAACCAGAGCGCATGGAAACACTGTTTACCTTCCCGCTGCAGCAGTACCTACTTATCTACTTGCCCTGGTGTGCTTTCGAACTGCTAGGTTGTCAGGAGCTGGGACAGAGCAACGGGCTTCCAAGAAACGAATATTCGGTGTCCATGGAAGTTCCACATAGCGATTTTGACTAATAGCCATTGATAGATTATGTCTCCCTCCTCACCTCAAAGTGCACAACTGCACTGTAACAATGAAGACTTATGGTGTTTTTGTAAATGTATTTATCACTTTTACAAGGGAAACACAATCTCAACACAATCTACAACGCAATCTGCACAATCTAAAACAAGCACAAGCATATCATAATATTTGGTAAGATAAACCTTATGAAACCTGCTTGCATTATGGTTCTTTAAATGATAGTTGAGGATTTCAGCCTGTTCGTGAACCTGAAAGATCTAATTTCCTGGGCTAGGAAAGAATTTATCTCCCACTATCTGTGTGTAAGGGACGCGGGTGGAGCTGTGGGTTAAACCACAGACCCTAGGACTTGCCAATCAGAAGGTCGGCAGTTCGAATCCCCACGACGGGGTGAGCTCCCGTTGCTCAGTCCCTGCTCCTGCCAACCTAGCAGTTTGAAAGCACATCAAAGTGCAAGTAGATAAATAGGTACCGCTCCGGCAGGAAGGTAAACAGCGTTTCCATGCACTGCCCTGGTTCGCCAGAAGCAGCTTAGTCATGCTGGCCACATGACCCGGAAGCTGTATGCCGGCTCCCTCGGCCAATAAAGCGAGATGAGTGCCGCAACCCCAGAGTCGGCCACGACTGGACCTAATGGTCAGGGGTCCCTTTAACTTTACTAAGGTATCTGAAGAAATGTGCATGCACACGAAAGCTCACACCAATAGCAAACTTAGTTGGTCTCTAAGGTGCTACTGTAAGGAACTTTTTTATTTTGTGTGTGTGTGTGTGTATGTATGTATGTATTCAATTGTTTTGCGAGCCAATTTTTATCCTGCCTTTCCTTGTTCAGAACCCCAAGGAAGGTTAAAAATGTGTAAAAACAATAAAGTGAGGTTACAGGGAACCAGGCAGAGGGCCTTCTCAGTAGTGGCGCCCATCCTTCCATCAGATGTCAAGGAAATAAACAACTATCTGACTTTTAGAAGACATCTGAAGGCAGCCCTGTTTAGGGAAGTTTTTAATGTTTGATGCTTTATTGTATTTTTAATATTCTGTTGAGAGCTGCCCAGAGTGGCGGGGTATAAATGATCATTACAGTATTATTATTATTATTATTATTATTATTATTATTATTATTACTACTACTACTACTACTACTACAATACATTTCCCAGGAGATTGTGAATAAGTGCAGACATTATGTCTTCAACACCAAACCATCCCCCTACATCACAGACATTGATGCTGAGGTCTGAAGTGATAAATAGTTTGCTCACTATTTTGTGACATTTTGGGTTAGTCCTAAAAAAGTTGTTACCTGACTGGATTCTGATGGCAGTGCTCCTCTTAAACACACAGAAAAATCTCTCAAAACTTTGTGTTGGATCATTCAACCCACAGAACAAACCGTTCAAGCTGGTTAACACATGGAGATTTTAATTAAGGCTTGCTGTGCCAGGATATCAATGATATGGATTGGGTATTCCAAGATATTCACTATGAAGTACATGGTCATGCTGGCTGGCAGTAAAGGGGCCGTTTGCATCCTGAAGAGATTTTGCACCACAGAGCAGCTGTACTGCACAGAGTCTTAAAAACACCGGACCCTTGATACTTACAGGAATGTTTACTCTTAAATAAAAATCAGATAGAAAAGCCCTTTCAGACTCACCATGAAATTCTCTGGGGTCTTGTGCTGTGTGTAATAAAGGAGAAGTACAATCAGAAGTTTCTTCTTAGAAACCATTAGTGGTTCATTCTGTATTTTAAAAGGTGGGATTTAGTGCAAGTGGGGATTCCCTCTCCAACCGGAATAAAATTAGCGTGTTTAAATCTTCATTTTGCTGGGCGATTCTTTTTTTTCTGTCCCTGATTGTCTTCCCTTCTTTTCATTCCTCTCTCCTGAGGCTCCATGACAGGCTTAAAGAACCTTTAAAGAGGGGGGAAGGAAGCAAGCTCTTGTTTGGCATCTTCCGTCCCTACTCTTCTTGGCTCTAATTACAAGGCAAAGATTAAAAAGACAAATGGGTTTTATCATTGCCTCCTTGGCCTTTTGGAAAGGAAGGGAGCAGGAAAACTGCAAAACTAAAAACAAACAAACAAGCAAACAAACAGAAAACCCCAGCTGAGCTTCCTAACCTTAGATAAACTGATGAAGTCAGCAGCTCTCAGCAACTGCAGGCAGTTGAAATCCAATTTACAGGGGAATTTCGCTACAAAGCCCACAAGCCTTGTGGCAGTCTTGCTTAAGAACAAAGTTTTTCGTTCGGCATGCAGGTGACATAATTAGGTCACTAGGGGCAAGGATGCTTAGAACCGCTGCGGAAAGAAATCCGCAAGACTCCTCAAATTAGACTCCTTCAGGTTCCAAGGGTAGGCTTTTCCCTTTTGCCTGCTGGGTATTCAAAAGAGCGGCACGGAGCTATTACACAGCTCCTGTGCTTGTAGCCTGGTTATCGCGTGCCGATCCTAGCAGATGAAAGCCCTTCCCTGCTCCCAATGTAGACTGCGCCCTGGTCTTGGAATGATGGGTGCCACTGAGATTCAATATAATTTGCAAACTTGGCACAAAAGCCCGAGCTTGATTAAAAGGGAAATATGTTTCAAACAGGCTGCTGTCCATCCATCCATCCATCCCCCTCCCCAACACCCAGAGAGATGAGCTTGGATCGAGTAGTGACATAACTGGAATAATCAACATAGATGGCATGAGGCTGATTGAACAGAGGTTACCATAGCATCAACTACCTAATCAGTTGCAAGCAAAGTGGCTGTCAATGCAACACTGTGGTACCTCGGGTTAAGTACTCAATCCGTTCCAGAGGTCCGTTCTTAACCTGAAACTGTTCTTAACCTGAAGCACCACTTTAGCTAATGGGGCCTCCCGCTGCCACTGCGCTGCCGGAGCACGATTTCTTTCTCATCCTGAAGTAAAGTTCTCAACCTGAGGTATTATTTCTGGGTTAGCGGAGTCTGTAACCTGAAGCGTATGTAACCCGAGGTACCACTGTACACCTATTGCTTTTTTTTTTTTAGGAAGACCCCCAAAATTGTTGAACTTTTAAGAGGAAACCTGTTTTCGATGTTTTTTCCATCATGTTGTCATACGTCCGGGACATGTCAGGAATTTTCCTGACATATGGCAAGCCTATACCTATCTATTTGTATATACAATATTTATTTACATATGCAATACAAAATACATATTTACTTGCTCCTGTGGATCTAATGAGAGGGGGGAAGCAAGGGGCTACTATTAATAATATGGCATACCTGCCTCTGGTTTCATAAGAACACCTGCCTCTGGTTTCATAAGAACATGAAAATCTGCCTTAGACTAAATCAGATCATTGGTCCATCTAGCTCAATATTGTCTACATCAGGCATAGGCAAACTCGGCCCTCCAGATGTTTTGGGACTGCAACTCCCATCATCCCTGACCACTGGTCCTGTTAGCCAGGGATGATAGGAGTTATAGTCCCAAAAACACCTGGAGGGCCAAGTTTGCCTATGCCTGGTCTAGAATGAATGGCAGAGGCTTCCCAGGGTTCCAGACAGGGGACTTTCCCAGCCCTACCTGGAGATTGAACCTGGCAGCTTCAGCAACCATAGAACTTCTCACCATTCAGATGTGAGAGGTGCACCTGGAGTCCTGTGTGTCCAGTTCTGGGCACCACAGTTTAAGAAGGATATTGACAAGCTGGAATGTGCAGAGAAGGAGGGCGACCAAGATGATCAAGAGTCTGGAAACCAAGCCTTATGAGGAATGGTTGAGGAAAATGAGTACATCTAGCCTGGGAAAGAGGAGGCTGTGAGGAGATATGATAGCTGTCTTCAAATATCTAAAGGACTGTCACATGGAGGATAGAGCAAGCTTGTTTTCTTCTGCTTTGGAAGGTAGGCCCCGAACCAATGGATTCAAGTTACAAGAGAGTCTGACTAAACATCAGGAAGGACTTTCTGACAGCTGTTCGACAGTGGAATGAACTCCCTCAAGAGGTTATGGACTCTCCTTCCTTGCTATTACCCCTCAATAGTCCCACTTAGAGCACAGTGACTGTCCTTCATAAACGTCAATGAGATGCACTGACATCTGTGTGTAGAAAAATGGAAATTATTTGGCTCCCTATAGGAGAATGCAGTGGGGCTCTCGGCTGACTGCCTTCCCTCTCCCTCTCACCATCAGCTTTCCTTTTTCCCTGATCCTTGTCACCTTGTCACACTTCAGCATAGCAGCGATTGCTCTGTCAGTAAATAATGAGACTCTTAATCTCAGGGTTGTGGGTTTGAGCCCCACACTGAGCAAAATATTTCTGCACTGCTGCGGGTAGGACTAGATGACCTTCATGGTCCCTTCCAGCTCTACAAATCTATGATTCTGTTAAACAGGTTGCCTAGAATAATCTAAACCGACATTTTTGGTAAACGTTGTGGCAGTGAAAATGACTGCTGTTCTCAAAATTACTTTTATCATGTATTACCTGTTTGGATATCTGATACACTTTTGCCAATTTGGCAAAAGGAAACAGTGGATTTTATTTTTGAAAAGAAGAATCCTAGGATTAAAAGGCCACTGTTATATCAACAAAAGCAGTGAGTGGGGAGTTCCTCATTTAAGAACATATTTTGATGCCCATCAGCTTTGACATCTAATATCCCTCCGCTTGGATAGCACAAGGGAAAGATGGGTGCAGCTGGAGAATAAAGTGATAAATGGTCTTCCGATTAGTGCATTGCTTTTTTGGCCTTAATAAGAAACTTACCGTGCAACAAATGGCAGAAAATCCATTTACTAATGCATTAATTAACTTTTGGAAACATAGAGGTTCCCAGTTGATTTCTGCACAATCTACTTTCTTTTATATTACTAAACACAGGAAAAGTATCCTGGCAGTCTTGGAGGTCAAAGGAGATTTATTTATTTATTTTTGGCTTTGATATTGTAATTTTTTTGTTGTTAATAGCAGACCCATTGTGGAACAGAAATTACAGACTCAATTGGAGGGAAACCCAATTACATGGATCCAATAGAGGCAGCTACATGATTTCCTCACTTGCCCCCAAACTAGGGTGCAAACTGCAAAGCATCAAACTGCATTAGAAGCAGTAACACTGGTGGCCAGACACAGAACACAAGACATAATCTTTTAGGCTGTCTACAATAATGTCCATTTACAATAATGGCTGTTTACAATAATGTTTACAATAATGTTAGCTACCTAAGGGGTGGGGAGATATCCAGTCTTAAATGGATGTGGGAGTGGGATGGTGGGGGGGGGGGTGAATTGAGGAAAGCAAGTGCTCTTATTTCTGGAACAAGCCACTAGTACACATGGCCTCTAACCAAGTTAAAGAATCCATGTTTAAGTTGAGACACATTTGATATTGCACCCCTATATGTTGAATGTGTCTCAACTTGACACAATTCTTGGTACTTATCATCATATGTGGCAGTCCTGCCCATGAGCGCAAGTATTTTGGAACGTGGTTTTTGACCTAATTCAAAAAATTGTACAATAGCCCGTTGACAGAACCCTACGGATAATGTTACTAACCCTCTTCTCAGGCTCCTGTAGTGAAACGAATAACAAAATCTTGGTTGGTCACTTGTTAAAAGCTGCCCAATAGTGAAACACTGGAAAGATTTAAAGGGGGCAGCATTAGAATACTAGCACATAAAGTGTGGTATTTAGCGTTCATGGTGAAAGTAACTCAAAAAGGGGCATGGCATTTCAAAATCTGACATATTTGTTGCTGTTTGGTACTCTTTTATTACGTACATAAACAATAAAGAACACGATCGCAGTCCCCCAACTCAGTATTGCTGTGATGCTGAATGTTGTTTTTATGCTGAATAATATCTATCTGGTTTTAAATTTCTTTTATTTTCCGCCACTTTCCCTTTGAAACTTCCTCTTTTCTCCAGAAAAATATATTGTCATATTTATTTTTATTATGTCTTCATCTATCATTTATTTTTAGTATGTCATCAGGATTGGCAATTTTCTGGTTTGGTCTTTTATTACTTCAAATTCAAGGTGATGGGTGACTTTTTTTCTTGCTGGTTTGTTTATCGAAGTTACTGTAAAACATATTGTAATACAACACTGAAAATTAATAAAGAATACTTTTTTAAAAAAAAAAAGGTTGCCTAGAAGCAACCTTCCATCTCCAGTTTCCCTTTTCCTCTGAAGTGACAAGTCAAATCCTCTGTGTCCTGGAAGCTCACAGAGCCCTATCAGGCCATTTGGGGGTTTGTTTGTTTGTTTTCAAAACTACACACACAAAATTTTTCTTTTGCCTTACACCCTTATATTCCTCTGTGTACCTTGGGAGTCTCCTGAGTATGCAGAATCAACTATGTTATTTTCAGGTGGCCCAAAATCATTTTGCTTTCAACATGATTGGCACTCAGTACTTAAAAAGGTAAAGGGACCCCTGACCATTAGGTCCAGTCGCGACCAACTCTGGGGTTGCACGCTCATCTCGCTTTATTGGCCGAGGGAGCCGGTGTACAGCTTCCGGGTCATGTGGCGAGCATGACTAAGCCGCTTCTGGCAAACCAGAGCAGCGCACAGAAACGCCGTTTACCTTCCCGCCGGAGCAGTACCTATTTATCTACTTGCACTTTGAGGTGTTTTCGAACTGCTGGGTTGGCAGGAGCTGGGACCGAGCAACGGGAGCTCACCCCGTCACGGGGATTCGAACCGCCGACCTTCTGATCGGCAAGTCCTAGGCTCTGTGATTTAACCCACAGCGCCATCCACGTCCCTATTCAGCACTTAGTTTGGTATTAAATACAGGTTTATCTTACGGATTACTGACAAATAAGATACATATTGTAAAGCACCTTGCACTGTCAAAGAACTATAGAAATTATTAATAATATTATTTGTGTCTCCATACAGATTTCTACTGAATACAAAAGAGCCAGACTTTCCCCTTTGTGGGCCTCATTTGCCACTTGATGTGCAAAACAGAGATCCCAGCCTAAGCATTAACAGCATTAACAAGTTATCTTAGCTGGATGACACAATTAATCTTAATAAAGAGATTTTCTCTCTCTCTCCATTCCCTTCCAAAACTGTGTGTGTGTGTGTGTGTGTGTGTGTGTGTGTTACACCTTTCTACCTTTCTACCTTTGGATTTATTAAATTAATCAGAAGAACTAGACAGTTCAAGCAGTCTTAAATACCAAACAGCTCAACTTTCCACGGTGAAGCGCAGGGTAATTTATTTAGCCCAAAGAACGTTCTTGCACATCAATAAATTCTCGCAAAAGGAGTTTTGTAACATTATCACTATTTTTATTTGTTATTGCTGTCCTGCCAGACAGCCTGTGAGACGGGTTCACATAGTATGCAGATGACACCCAGCTCTACTTCTCCTTTAAATCAGAACCAGTGAAGGCGGTGAAGGTCCTGTGTGAGTGCCTGGAGGCAGTTGGAGGATGGATGGCAGCTAACTGATTGAGGTTGAATCCTGACATGACAGAAGTACTGTTTTTGGACGACAGGGGGCGGGCGGGTGTGGGGGATTCCCTGGTCCTGAATGGGGTAACTGTGCCCCTGAAGGACCAGGTGCACAGCCTGAGAGTCATTTTGGACTCACAGCTGTCCATGGAGGCACAGGTTAATTCTGTGTCCAGGGCAGCTCTCTACTAGCTCCAACCGGTACGCAGGCTAAGACCCTACCTGCCCGCGGACTGTCTCGCCAGAGTGGTGCATGCTCTAGTTATCTCCCGCTTGGACTACTGCAACGCGCTCTACGTGGGGCTACCTTTGAAGGTGACCCGGAAACTGCAATTAATCCAGAATGCAGCAGCTAGACTGGTGACTAGGAGTGGCCGCCGGGACCACATAACACCGGTTCTGAGAGATCTGCATTGGCTCTCAGTACGTTTCCGAGCACAATACAAAGTGTTGGTGCTGACCTTTATAGCCCTAAACGGCCTCGGTCCAGTATACCTGAAGGAGCGTCTCCACCCCCATCGTTCAGCCCGAACACTGAGATCTAGCACCGAGGGCCTTCTGGCGGTTCCCTCATTGCGAGAAGTGAGGTTACAGGGAATCAGACAGAGGGCCTTCTCAGTAGTGGCACCCATCCTGTGGAACACCCTCCCTTCAGATGTGAAGGAAATAAGCAGCTATCCTATCTTTAAAAGACATCTGAAGGCAACCCTGTTCCGGGAAGTTTTTAATATTTAATGCTGTACTGTTTTAACACTTGATTGGGAGCCGCCCAGAGTGGCTGGGGAAACTCAGCCAGATGGGTGGGGTATAAATAATAAATTATTATTATTATTATTATTATTATTATTATTATGCAACCCAGCCTATTTTGCCATGAAATTGGAGGGCAGAAACCAGCAGGCTCTACAGCAGCCTCCTCCAAACCTGGTGGTCTCCCTATGCTTTGGACTAAAACTCCCACCAACCCAGGCCAACATGGCCTCAAAATATATGGAGGGCACAAGGAAGCAGGCTGTAGTTTGGAATCTGAATTAAGTCCAACTTCCTATCCAGTGGGATCTGCCCCACAAATCTGCTAATTCCTCCCGGTGTCCTCCTGCTGAAGTGATACTTGCCTTGCAATCTAAAGAAATAAGAAGATCCCATGGGTGAAATGCTAGGCCTGGGGGAGTCTTAGAAACCCATTTGCCTGCACCAATCCTCGCAGCAGGTGGTAGAAACTGGGACTCGGGGCATTTTCACATGTGAGGTTTAAAAATCGCCCTTGAGCATCTCTTGCTCTGGTTAATGTCTGCTTGCTGTTCATGCAAAAGAAGAAGTGTTTATCCTGGTCTCTGTCAGTTTTATTTTCCCATTACAGTGGTACCTCGGGTTACATACGCTTCAGGTTACATACGCTTCAGGTTACAGACTCCGCTAACCCAGAAATAGTACCTTGGGTTAAGAACTTTGCTTCAGGATGAGAACAGAAATCATGCTCCGGCAGTGCGGCAGCAGCAGGAGGCCCCATTAGCTAAAGTGGTGCTTCAGGTTAAGAACAGTTTCAGGTTAAGAACGGACCTCTAGAACGAATTAAGTACTTAACCCAAGGTACCACTGTACAAACCCCTAAGAGCATTCCTACTGGATCAGACCAAGTCCCGCATCCTGTTCTCACAGTGGCCAACCAGATGCCTGTGGAAATTCCAGAAGCAGCACTCTCCCTGCTTGTGACTCCCAGCAACTGATAGCCAGCTTGCTCTATCCAAGAAAATATCTAGCAGCACCAAAAATATAGTTGTTCCAAAACTACCTGACGAAACTGTGGATAAATTACCGCCGCAACAGAAATCTGAGCTGTATCATCAGATTTCCTGACCCAAAACTATTTTCCCCACTGAAAGGTAAAAAGTAAAGGACCCCTGGATGGTTAAGTCCAGTCAAAGGTAGCTATGGGGTGCAACGCTCGTCTCGCTTTCAGGCTGAGGGAGCCGGCGTTTGTCCACAGACAGCTTTCAGCGTCATGTGGCTAGCATGACTAAACCCCTTCTGGTGCGACGGCACACCATAATGAGTGCCAGAGCGCACAGAAATGCCATTTACCTTCCCATCACAGCGGCACCTATTTATCTGCTTGCACTGGTGTGCTTTTTAACTGCTAGGTTGGCAGAAGCTGGGACAGAGCAACAAGAGCTCACCCCGTTGCACCGACCTTCTGATCGACAATCCCAAGAGGTTCAGTGGTTTAGACCACAGTGCCACCTGCTTCCCTTATTTTCCCCACTAATACCATGCTGAGAGTTCAGCTGGATGGTCCTGAGAAGTTTATTCACCTCCAGTCTGCAAAACAAGGATGACATTCATGTGTTACATCCATGAAGGGGTCTTCACACAATTACTGGGCCACACCAAGCCCTGCTCCCAACATTACACAGTTTCCACCAGCCCCATCCTCAGCAACCATACATTAGGGACAGATGTCTTCATAGGTAAACACATGGACCTCTATGCATATAGACTACTATAAGACCAGGAACCATGATCAAGCAATGTAGAGGCTCACATTCTCCCTGCAGATGGTCATGTGTACTCCACAAATGTAGAGTTGAGGGCAAGACCAACAGTGATGTCCTGCTCCCCTGAAACCATGTGGAAACCCCTTCATTCATATAATACTTAAAAGATGGTTTATATGTCAAAAGATTGAAGTGAGGATGAAAAAGTAAAGCACTAACAAGGAAGAGTAAATGAACAATAGCAAGCAATTAAATGCCTGGAGCCTGTTGACCTCCCCAGACTACAACTATGAAGAACCCAGCAGCTGAAGAGTAAGAGGATTCTTGAGCCCTGTGTTCAACCAGGCCTGGCCTCAATCTACACATGCAGTCTCATGGATAATGAGATGCACATACAGTTTTCATATTCATAAAGACCATGCAGGCAGCACATCGAATACTTGCAGCTTGAGGGTGTGGCAAGTTGTCTCTCATATGATCACTGCAAACAGCTGAACACCTGCATAGATGGCACCAATGTTTGTCAATTTCCTTATCTAATAGATCAGGGATACAGTACATGCTTTGGTCCTAGGTTCAATCTCTTGTGATTCCTTTTTTACAGTAATAATAAAACCATAGAATTGTAGACTTGGAAGGGGTCCCGAGGGCCATCTAGTCCAACCTCCTACAATGCAGGAATATGCAGGTGGCCTGTATGGAAATCGAACCCACAACCTTGCTGCTATTGGCACCGTGCTCAACCCAACTGAGCCAACTGGCCAGGAGTTCACACAATGCAAGACTAGGAAAGACCTATGTTGGGGAAACATGGAGAGCTGCTTCCAGTCACAGTCTACAGTGCCCTCCAGATGTTTCAGACTACAACTCCCATCAGCCCCAAGTGGCATGACCTGGGGTCCAGAAGGGTGAAAGCTGTGATCCATAACATCTGGAGAATACTACATCAGCTACCCCAACCTAGAATGGACTAATGTTCTGACTTTGTACAAGACAGCTTCATATGTTCCAATTCTATGTCGGTGTGTAATGCCAAGATTTGACATAATCCTCTGAATTTTAACCTTCATGAAACTGGAAGCTTTTGATGTAAGTGGGGCGATGGCCTTTACTGTACCAATCTCTCCCCTACTGTTCTGTGGATTTTGCAGGATGCCAGAAAATATAGCTTCATTGTGAACTCCCTCGCTTTCATCTTAATGGATTGTTAACTTCAGAGGCTTACAAAGCCATCATTTCAAAGCTAGTACTTTATAGCCGAGAACTCCAGGTCCACAACAACTACTACTGCAAAACCATCAGTATAAAACACCCGTGTTTCAAGATGGGGAGTGCCACGGCTGCACCGAACTCCTAGGGACCACCAGCACCAACCGAGATGCTTGGCTGGTCCCTGCGCCACCATCACTGCCACCACCGCGATCAAAGGGGAGCCTGGGGAGGCCAAAATGACAAGTGAAGAGGCTGTGCAGAGTCTTCCCCCCAGATGATCCCGATCCCACCGGGACTGAGAGTGTCCAAACAAAGCTCCGGAGTCCAGAGGCCTACGAAGCTAAACAAATAATGAAGCAGAGCAGCCACCACTTGTCGCACACCAACTTACCGCTGCCACCGCCAAAGGAGAACAATAAATCACTAAATCACAGCCCAGACAAGAAGAAAATGGCTGCCTAACCCCGACGCTCTGAAAAAAGCCACCAATCAACAATGCCTGTACAGCCCTCAAATTCCACAACACCCAAGAACCACCACCACCTCGTTTGTGGGTTTACAGGAAGCTTTGTAAAGAAATATGTATAGAAACATTGTAAAAAAGGGAAGAGGGGGAGTAGGTGGATTTTAAGATAAAAGGCAATGAGAAATTTCGAGTTTGCAGAATAAAGATGAGAATACGGAGGATTCACGGATGAACTGATGGAGGTCAAAAATACGTATTTGTGATTGTATTAAAAATGTATGACTAAATTTTGTATTGGAAATTAATAAAAATAATTAAAAAAAAAAAGAACCACCACCACCTAAATGCCAAACCACAACACCCCATCCCAAACCAAGACCATCAAGACAATAGAGATAGCACCAACCAGGAAGATGATGAACGGCAAAGAGATCGCAACACACACACACGCACCATGATGACAAAGGTCCAAAAACAAAATGGGACCTGAGGGACATGGAACTGAGAATAGCCATGATCAAAATTATCACCTTCACAAAATTAACCTACTTATTCCAAACCCTTCCAATCTGGATTCCACCAACGCAACTCCGCAAATAGCAGAAAATAACTACACTCATTTATCTTCTCAGACAAAAAGTCAAGAATAAGCCCAAGACACCTGCATCTCCCCATCTCAGAAGGAAGATGGGGAATCCCCAACATAGAACTATACTACATCATGCACCAAGTGCGCCACATAATCCCATACATTACAATAGAACCCTGATTTACCACCACCCCTACTTGTGAATAATCTGACTTGCGACCGTGACAAACCCGGAAGTAAATACCGGGTTTGCCTCAATTTGTGCACGCGCAGAAGTGGCTTCTGCCAACTGCACATGCGCAGAATGGTGCTGTCGCCGAATGTGCACATGCAGAACGGCGCTTCTCCTAGCAACCCGGATCGACTCACGAACGGACCTCCGGAACAGATTCTGTACGTGAGTAGAGGTTCCACTGTATAGAAATGAGACAAAACAATGACAACACTTGCGGAGAGACATAATCAAAAACACCACCACCACAGCATACCCTTTCCTCCAAAACAAACTAAGGAAAATCCCCACAACACTAAACTGGTTCACACAGCCCATGCTTAAAGCAAGGAAGGAAGAAGAAGAAGGTGAACTGTCCCCAACCCCATCCCCGCTACCCTGTAGCTTAGTCATGCTGGCCACATGATCTGGAAAAACTGTCTGCGGACAGATGCTGGCTCCCTCAGCCTGTAAAGCGAGATGAGTGCCACAACCCCAGAGTCATCTGCAACTTGACTTAACTGTCAGAGGTCCTTTACCTTTTTAACTACACGCCTTCTTAAACAATCCAGTAGTAAAATCAACAGCCACTAGGCCCTTGACCACCTTTGGAAACCTTCTCCTAACAACAACGGGACATGGCAAGGGGATGGTATCCATAATACGCAAAACACTGCTCCAAAGCCCCACAAACCCCCTTGATGCAATCAAAAAACAATGGGAGGACGACATAGGCTATGAAATCAACCCCACCCAATGGTCTAGAATGTGGTCCAGTGTCTCACAACAAATGTAACTGATCTGTAGAAAACACAACCTGAAGAGAGAGACAATGCATGCGCTTTTGTAAACGAGGAAAATCTTTAATAAAAATTATTTTTTTATTTAAAAAACACCGTTTTCAGTTGTGAAACATTTTACGACTCAATGCAATTGTGCAAAGCTCCGTAATGTTTTGTCGCAAATGGAAGGATCTCCAGTAAGTAACACGAGAAACGCGACAGGCACATGAAGGACAAATACATTTACAAAGTCAACTTGGAAGGTATGCTACTGGATTTTTTTTTTAAGTGAAAAATCAAATTATTTGTCTGAGCTCAGTGGAAACAAAATCTCTATCCATTTTAATTGAAGCAGCTTGATATAAACCGAGATAGGAAACCATTCCCCCCCACCCCCTGTAGGATTCTGACCAGGCTAGGCTGTTCATTTCTGGAGTATGACCCATGAAATGCATCCTGGCATGTCTCTAATAGACGATGTATGATTCAGCCACCTGCGTCTTTAGCAACAGACACAGAAATATCTGTTTTTCTGATCCTCGCAACAATTATTAAATTAAGGCATTAGTGGTATCGTATGGATGCACAGGGCCAAAACTGGGTTGGGGGGGGGAAGCAAGGAAACACAAAATCACCCATAAAGTTGGAGAGGGGGGTAATGAGGGTGTAAACTCTTCATTCCACCTCGAAACAAAATCCCAGAGCATCTGCTTTCTGTATGTTCTTCTACTGCCATCTTCTGCCCAGGATGAATATAAAAGTAAACATGGCTGGCTGCCACTATGAAAAAAATATGGAACCCTATCACATGCATGACTTAATGTTATTATTGTGCACTAAACAATCAAGGGAAAACAGATTGGATCTTTAAGAGCGCTACTATGGTATAGTCCAATTTGCATGTAGTATAGTCTTCAGTTGGTAAAACAACTATGGCCGTTCCTGGATTGGGATAGCTTGACCACAGTTGTTCATGCTCTGGTAGCATCATAGTTCGACTGATGCAATGCACTTTAAGTGGGACTACCCTTGGGGTTGATTCAGAAGCTGCAGCTGGCGTCAGATGCAGTGGCTAGGTTGGCTGCAGGGGAAAACTACCACCAACATATTATACCTTGTTTGCAGGATTTGTACCAGCTGCCAATTCGCTAGAGGGCCAAGTTGAAAGTAAGTCCCTATACAGCTCAGAACCTGGCTGCTTAGGGAGCCGCCCTATTCGTTATAAACCCTGCACATCACTCTGGTCTATGGGAGCTTCTCCTGCAAGTTTCAAAGATGTCAGAAACTAGCTCTGTAGTAACTTGGAGCAGGGCTTTAAGTGTGGCCGCCCCTGTCCTGTGGAATATCAAACGACAGGTGCGCACTCTCTGTGCTTTCCAGAAACAGTTGAAGACATTTTAGTTCCCACAGCTCATTTCATTCCCAGCTGGGCAATTGAGTGTTTAGCATCAGTGTCCATTTACAAGCGTTTTAGTCTTGTTTCAGACGTATTGGCTGGGTTTTTTGTGTTTTTAACTGCTTTAACTATTTCATATGCCAATCGCATTGAGACGTCAGCTTAGAAAGCAATTAATACACTGATTGCAATAACAGGAATAATAATAGTCCTGTTTGCATATGGCTGCAGCACTGTATAATGGTACCTCAGGTTAAGAACTTAATTCGTTCCAGAGGTCCGTTCTTAACCTGAAACTGATAACCTGAGGTACCACTTTAGCTAATGGGACCTCCCGCTGCCGCCATGCTGCCAGAGCACGATTTCTGTTCTCCTCCTGAAGCAAAGTTCTTAACCCGAGGTACTATTTCTGGGTTAGCGGAGTCTGGAATCTGAAGCGTCTGGAACCTGAAGCGTCTGTAACCCGAGGTACCACTGTACAGGAAGCAGTGTTTGGCATGCCTAGCTTTCAGGACATCTTCCACAGCTGCTCCAGTCTTTCAGACCTGGCTATATGCACATCCCATCTCCGAGGAGACTTCAGGCTCAGCGCAGGGATTACTAGACGAAGTTTCAAGGCTGAGTTTATTCTGGGGATCAGAGAAGATTGCTCAGTGATTACTGAGCGGTATTACTGACAGGAAGTAAAGGAAATGAGACCTTCTCACCACTACCCACTTCCCTGTGCCTTTAAAGGATTTTAAAATGAAAGCCAGCAGGTCCTAAAAAAAAAATAATATTAAAAATGCAGGCCTCACAATCTGAGCACAAACTTCATTGATATTAAAACCTGTTAAAAACTCTTCATTTTTAAAAATATTTTTGTGAATCACCAAGCTAGAAGGTGCTCAAAAAAGTCAAGTTAAACCCTTTCATGAGGCCATGTCACTGGCAATCAGAAATCAGGAAAAGTCAGTGACAAACCTGGCACAGGTAAGACTTAAGGCATAAAACTGGGTCTAAATTTACTTATGTTTTTAAGGCATTTACACTTCTCCCTCTGTCGCCTAAAAGGGCTGTCAGAGCAGTGCACAGATAACAGTACTAAGATGGTCCCTGCACTCAGGCTCACAGTCTAAAACGAGAGGGCACCAAAGTGGCACCCGCAGGCACACAGAATCCCACAGAGGCAACCGCAGGGGCCTTCCTTGCCCTACTGATATTAGGCTTAAAATAAGCCTTATATGGTAGCCAATGGAATAGGCTGTAGGCTAAGCTTGTTTGTGGTGCCCGTCACAGTTTTCTGATTTCCAGACTGCCAGCAGGCCCCGAAAGGTTGGTGACTGCCGAAGAGACATGGAACATGAGGAAAATGGGAACAATATCCAACAAGGTCTGGCACATAGCTGTCACCTTTTCCCTTTTCTTGCGAGGAATCCTATTCGGAATAAGGGAATTTCCCTTAGAAAAAGGGAAAAGCTGACAGCTATGGTCTGGCAGCAAGAAGTCTCCTTGGTTTACTCCATGGCTCATTGTTTCCACGTGTTTGTTTTTGAGAACTTCACAGATATGAAAAGTAACTATTATTATCCAGTGGAGTCGCGAGGAGAGAGATTTTGGTCCTTATTGCAGAAGGTTGGGGAAGGAAATATCAACAATCCCAGATCCAGGGTATGGTCTGCAAGCACATGAAGCCATCCTGCTGAAGCTAAGCAGGACTGGGTCTAGTCCATGGGCAGGCAAACTAAGGGCCGGGGGCTGGATCTGGCCCAATTGCCTTTTAAATCTGGCACACAGACAGTCCGGGAATCAGCGTGTTTTTACATGAGTAGAATGTGTTCTTTTATTTAAAATGCATCTCTGGGTTATTTGTGGGCCATAGGAATTTGTTCATATATTTTTTCCAAAATATAGTCTGGCCCCCCCACAAGGTCTGAGGGACAGTGGACCGGCCCCCTGCTGAAAAAGTCTGCTGACCCCTGGAGTAGTCTGTATATAGATAGGTGACTATTGGGATGCCATCATGTATACCACTGGAAGTTCCATAATGGAAGAATGGTGGCTGAATGTAAAAATGAATGAATGAATGAATGAATGAATGTAACTTGTGTCCATGTGGTGGTGATGGGGGTGGGAAATAAGACTTCATCATTATTTCATGGTATGCTGTTCAAGTAGAACATCTGCCACTGCTATGAACCAGAACTTCCTTCTGGTCAACTACCTCAAGAGCTGTCTTCTACTCTGCTATCAAGTGAGTCATTGGTTTTGCAAGAGCAAAGGGTCCGAATGTTGTTTGCTTGGGCAAACATTGTAATTCCATTTTAAATTCTTCACTGAAATAGTGCTGTGATACCGCAACATGCATGCATGCCTTGTTTTTAGTGCGTTTGTGTGGCTGGGTGTTTAACAGAAGAGTCAGGCAGAGTATGCGACACATTCTTAACCTGGCGCATTTTACGCAGGTTGTTTTTAGAATAGTTCTGCACTCAAACTTCATTTCTTGAAGAGAAAACACGCATACCAGGAAAGTGACTTAACTGTAACAATACTGTACATTTTTCACAACACAATCCTATGCATGTCTTCTAACAAGTAAACCCCACTGAGTTCAATGGGGCTTATTCACATGTGACATAGGATTGCAACCATGCTATGCAATACTAAATATGAAAACTCAGAAGTAAATTCGAAGAAATTCAAGGAGTCTCTCCACCAGGTAAGTGGCTATAAGGACTGCAGCCTTAATCTCTTATTTCAGTCAAGAAGAGATGCCATCACTAGAGCAGACCTATTTATCTCCATCTCGTTTCATCACCCGGTAATTTAAATCTGATTTTCTGATTCTCAATCTGCTTATCAAGCACTAAACAACATCATGAGATCCTGTCTCTGCCGAAAATGATTTTCCCTTTTCCCTCCTTGCAGA